TTGGTGTTCAGCCAAAGATTATCTGTAGGAGTTAGATATCGGTGTTTAGTCAAAGATTATCTATATGAGTTAGATATTGTGTTTAGTCAAAAGTTATGTATCGGGAAAATTTATTCAAAGCTTATCTTTATGAGCTAGTTATTGGTGTTTAGTCAAAAGTTAGCTAAAAGACATATTTGTGTCAGTTTGACCTACATAAGCAATGCAATTGGAAGCTTCTACCATCAACCTTACTTTCCCTGATGTCTAAATTTAAATGGCCAAGAAATAAGAATGCGGCAGTTTTACGTGGTATTCACCATCAGAGTTCCGGTAAGACATGCTCTGCTTGATTTATAGAATGTCTCCTACAGGCAAACAGATTTACGTGAGATAGAACAATAGTTCCCCTTCCCCCCCATCTCAATTGAATTAGGATAAACGAGCTCGGGTGGGTGGAGTCAATGTGAGTGCGACTTCCGGTTTGCACTGCCGTCTGCGCGGTATTTCTTTTCTTTTTTTTAAAGTGTGGTGGGGTGGGACTGATCAGTGATATTTTATTTCATGGTTTATCCTGGGATAAGATAAGTGTGGTGTCCAGAGATGAATGAGTACCCTTGTTCCGTCACGTCGTATAGTGTTTGGTATTTGATCCAATCTTATCGTACAATCATAAAAACGTTTGTTTGAAAGGCGGGGTTCTTTTTCTTCTCCGACACATCCTACTTATACCGGTAGTTGCAGTGAGAAATTTTGAAAATCTAAGCACCCCCCCACCCCGAATTTGATGGAAAAAAAATTATTCAATTTTGATACAAAGCACTTGTAGTCCAATTAGTATTTTTTTTTTAAAAATCAAAAATCCTCAGGAAAGGTCAAAGAATTATTAATTTGATTAGCCATAGATTGAACACGATAGCACCATATGACATAGACATACGATTGAGTACAGCAACATATTGACAGCGGGCCCCTGCGAAAAGGGGCGACGGCCCCGTGTGTCATCTTCAGAGGGCGTCAAAAGTGTGATTTTTTTTCATGCATAATATGCGTATAAATAAATACTATGTGGGGACGTGAGTGCCTAAATTTAGGCTCTGCCCCTGGCGCTGATTCTTCTTGTCACGCCCCTGATTGGCTGTCAACCACGGAGAGCCGCACAGCTTCACTTTCACCCCGTTGTTGCATGTAAAGGTTAATTTTTGTTTCAACCTTGGGTAAAAAAAAATATATATATGTTTCACAGGGGAAAAATAAAGATTTGGGATGAATAATAAAAAGTGTACAAAATAATTAAGAATGGGGTATAAATTATAAGTTGTACAGTATACCAAAGGCCACCCCACCCCCCCCCCCTCCCGGGCATTCATTTATCTTTCGTTCTGTGGGACTGCCGCAGAAAGCGTCTAGCTTTTCTTCCTTGAATCTCTAGTGACCTGGTATCGATTGCTAAAAGTGGACAAGAACGAGTCCATTAAATGTCTCAATTAGCCTTGAAGTATCGCGGAGTGTACTAGAAATCGGTAATCACAATCACCCATGAAAAACGACGTACGATTCCCGTTTCAACTCTGATCACTCTGGCCTGCTCCCGCTGGACTTTGCCCAAATAACTCGATAATGGTCTTTTTTCTGTTTGATAATGTGATTAAGTAGAATTTTGTCTAGCATAAAAGTTGCAACTTCTAGCTTAAGACTGTGCTGCTTTAATCGCTTGGCACACTTGCAGAGTAATATTTAGGGCCAGGTAATTATTAGACAAGGTAATGTTTTGGCTGGTAATATTTAACCAGGTAAAATCTAGGCAAGGTAATATTTTAGTAAGGTATTATTTAGTCAAGTTAATATTTAGGAAATGTAATTTTCAGGCAAGGTATTGTTTAGGAAAGGTAACCAGTCATGATTAGACAGTAATGAATTATTTTACTTATGAAGCAGACTTTTATTTTTTATTGTTCTTTTCCCGTCTTGAAATATGCTTCATGAACAGCGACCCTCTTAAATTATTGAGTCAAAGTAACATGGTCCAGGTGTTAGTCCATTGCTACATAACTAACACATCAAGGTATTGTGTTAAAGTACCATGATCCATGTGTTAGTCCATTGTTACATAGCTAACACATCAAGGTAGTGTGTTAAAGTACCATGATCCATGTGTTAGTCCATTGTTACATAGCTAACACATCAAGGTTAAAGTAACATAGTCCATTGTTACATAGCTAACACATCAAGGTATTGTGTTAAAGTAACATGGTCCAGGAGATGTAATAGCAAATATGGGTCCCAGTAATTCGAAGTTTTCGAGTCTAAGCAAATAGCCACATAAATATAATGTGCTTTATAAGTAAACTATACGTACACTATACGTACACTATATGTAAACTATACGCACAGTATAAGCACACTACTCATATTTTAACATGTCTAAGTTTCATATTTAAATCACGTACGATTTTTTATAATTGATAGGAATTGCGTTGACAATATATATCAACCAAGAAACACGAAGAGTAATTGCTGGTTGATTCTTACGGCGCAAGTCCCAAGCATATTTGACTGCACGTGATGATGAATTAAGTCCCCTGGCGTGCACACCATTGCATTAAATATCGCACAAGACTACGACAGGGATCTATTGCCAGGTCAGAGGTCGTGTCAATACGGCGGTGCATGGCACAGCGCCAGATGACAGTCGTTGTCCCGACGGCGCAAACTATTTTCTTCCACCTCCCTCAATGTATCTCTTTTTTTTTCCACTGACGCAAATTTCATAATAGTATGTTCATAACTTGCTGAGATATTCACGACATGTTCTCGGCCCCAGTGGTGACAGAATAACCTCATGTTTAAATGAATAGACCCTAACCACGGCGTACAAAATCTGACGTCAGTTAAACGTCACCGACAGGTAGAACAGTTTGTTTCAATTTAAAGCCTTCGCCTGTCAACAAAGGTAATACTATCAACAAAGGTAATACTATCAACAAAGGTAATACTATCAACAAAGGTAATACTATCAACAAAGGTAATACTATCAACAAAGGTAATACTATCAACAAAGGTAATACTATCAACAAAGGTAATACTATCAACAAAGGTAATACTATCAACAAAGGTAATACTATCAACAAAGGTAATACTATCAACAAAGGTAATACTATCAACAAAGGTAATACTATCAACAAAGGTAATACTATCAACAAAGGTAATACTATCAACAAAGGTAATACTATCAACAAAGGTAATACTCACATTTTTTTTTCTTTTAATTTGCCAAGGATCCCCGCGACGCCCACGCATGAGAAATCCTCACCAAGAGTGGCTGGATCAGACACTCCACCCTTTTGAACATCGGGCGGCCACACTCGGAACAACACCCTGCGGCTACAGTACCAGTGGCCGTAGTAATAGGCATGGACACAACTTGTTCTGTATTCGAAGAATGTGAGTCCCCGGCAATGTTCTAGATGTTCAGCTGATCCACTGGGTAGCAATCATCTCTGTGCGAGGGTGAGGTTGTTGTTTTGTTGTTGTTTTTTCTTCTCCCTCCCGCTTTGCTATCCTCAGTCATCCTACCTCCTAATAATGCGTTTATTGTCGGGGGTGGGGGGTGGGTGAGGGAGGTCATGAAGGAAATGAGCGCGCGGGCGCGACAGCGCGTGCAGAAGCAGAGCGACGGTTCCAGACCGAGGCTGGAAAAAATTAATATCGGTGAGATGTAGCATCAATTCCGAGGAATCATAAAACAGAAGGGGGAAAAACTGTCATTGATTGCACATATAAATCTCATCTTCTTCATTCACATGAAAACAATAAGCCATTTCATGTCCAAACTTTTACTGTTGTGTGCCGTTACCATGGTTTCCTGTTGTGTTTAGTGCTAACAAAGCGATTTGTCACCAAGCTTTGCACGTCGTTTATTCTGTACTCTTTAGGTCGCAATGGCACCCCTAGGAATGAGGTGCTTCTAAGAATGAGGTTTACCTAGAAATGAGGTGCTCCTAGGAATGAGGTGCCCCTAGAAATGAGGTGCCCCTAGGAATGAGGTGCTCCTAGGAATGAGATTCCCCTAGGAATGAGGTGCCCTTAGGAATGAGGTGCCCCTAGGAATGAGGTGCCCCTAGGAATGAGGTGCTAACGACGCAAGTGTTCCAATAATTGCAAATTTGTGTTATGTCACCAAACTATAGCCGATAGTCAACCATGAATAGAGTTTCTCCAACAATTAACAGTTAGTCCAATAGTATAGTTAACAGTTAATTCACTAATGACCTGAAGTGGTCCACTTCCACTAATGACTAAAAGACTAAGGGTCAGAGGTAGTCCACTAATTGCCAGAGGTGGTCTATTAATTACCAGAGTTAATTCGCTATTGACCACTACTGATCCGTTTGTGTTTGTGTGTTTTTTTGTTTGTTTGGTTTTTTTTTTTTGGTTTTTTTTAGAAATGCCCCAATAGTTATGACCTGAGTGTGGAAACATGATTCAGATTTGATAAACATTTTTTTTTTTAAGACGCACAGACAAGCAGGGGACGTAACTTTTAAATTTATTTAAAGATAAAATTTGTCATAGTGCCTCCCTTTTCATTCGTACAACTGGTTCAATTTGCCTCGCATGGAATACATTATTTTAAAAATAAGGAATAAAAAAACAATGATTTATTAACACTTTTTTTAAACTTTGAGTTTGAGTGAGAATTTGGAAGGTGCAGGCGCAGGTGGAGTCTAAGTCTAAGACTACTAAAAATATGCCCCATTTGCCCATTTAAATTAAAATTTACATTCACGCGATTTAAATAAGTCTAATTACATTTGACAAGAGACTGGTGATCGAGATGCATTAAATATATTGGTTTTAAGCTATTTATGCCATTTTGCTTTTAAAAAAGCATGTATAAGTACATAGACATGACATAAATTAGTTATTGATTTCTGCATATTACTTCGGTGACATCATGAATGAATCATTGCCTTGAGATTCTTTCCGTGTCAACGCGCATGCGCTGTTATTCTCTGGTACGGGCCTTCACTAATCCAATATGGCGCCCATCATTGAGAAGGAAGACAAGATGGGTAATTTCAAAGAAGAAAACAATGTTGATGACTCTGAAAATTTATGGTGCGTGAACAGTACATATGTGCAATTATGGATTAAAGATAAAGCATTCATTTTAGTTTCGATATGTTTTTTAAAAAAAACTATTGAGCACCTCATTATTACTAAATACATAGGGCCTTAAACTTGCTCTTATTCTTATTTTGGCAAAGAAAATAATTACCAAATAATTATTTTTTTTTCGTTTCGTTGACAAATCTGAACAGTATGCCTAATATAAAATTAATTGCTTTTTAAGCATTAGAACTCTAGCTACTTGGGAATTTAAAATACTCAGTATTAATACTGAAATAGGGTTTGTGATTGTAGATTAATTAATCATTGACAATCATTGATGACCCTGTACTAAGTCACAGTCACTCAGGCCTCTGAAAGTACTGAAACTGTAAATAATAAATAACTAATTAAAATAATAATTGGCTGATTCTTAGTGTGCAGTGTAGTTACTGTGATAAATACACATTTCAGCACAGTAGTTGCAGTCATAGTATTTTAAAAGTATTTTAGTACTTTTAGTTTATGATTTTGTGAAATCAGACATTACTGTCATTACTAGGGGTGTGCCGGACCCCGGTCCGGAATCCGGTTCCGCCGGATTTTGCACTATCCGGTGAAATCCGGTTCCGCCGGATTTACATGTATCCGGAACAACCGGATTCCGGAATCCGGAATATACCGGATTTCGGAATTTGCCAGATTTTGTGACTCACCGGATCATAATCTGAAATAAAAGTAATTCTCTTTCCCGAATTCCACACGATCACGATACATTAATCGATTGTTTCGAGCGTTGAGCTTGTTTAATGTTTAATATTCCGTACATACCAGAGGCTAGAGTCAGCACCGCTAATAGTTGCCAATAGTGTAGGGACTTTGATAAGAAAATTTAAACTTTTTGTAAAAATAAACCAATGGCATAGTTGAAAAGATGTAATTTTTTAAAGAATTATAACACCAAAATCATATTTTTAGCTGTTGTAGTTTTAAAGTTATGAATTTTTAAAGTACGACTTGGTTTGTCATTTTTTAACATGGACTGCATCTCCACATTCTGTGATCTCATTCCGCCAATCCCGTCATGCGCAATGACTATATAGTTTATATAAGGCAACGCATTCCCTGCCTTATCACTAAAATACTGTTTAGACTTAGTTTAAACTTTCAACTTTGGCACATGAATAATTAATTAAAGCTTTCCCTGACCAATGGTTTAATAGTTTTTGCACACGGCAAACTCTTATGAATGAAACTCTGAGGTAGTACTACGATACAGTTATGCAAGTGGCTGTGAATGGTTGCCAATGACAACGTGTTGCACACGGTAAATTCTGATCATTTATAATATGGATTCTACCGGGTTGTTAAAGCTCAAATTAAAACATTCCAGTTTAAATGTCTTTAAATGCATTCTGAAACACAAGTTATCAATTATTTTGATGTAAATAGTGATAATAAATTAATATTTCCTAAGTATCGTCAACTTCCGCCATTAAAAAGGGGGGCGTGGCCAACCCCATGGCGAAATTAGGTTGAGCGAGCTGCATAACCTGCTGCGAACGCGTAGAAACATGGCGTCTCTCGTAAGACACTTATCCAAATGGAACGGAACTCAAATATATATCGAAAGTACTAATTTAATAATAAATAGACACACACATCGGAAAATTAAAAACTCGGATTTTTTGGCGCCGATTGCGAATTCCCATACACAAAAAGTAGTAGTCCACCTTGACTTACCGAAGTATCTACCAATAGTACCAAAATCCGGAATCCGGGAGAAACCGGAATCCGGATCCGGCGGATTTCGCATAAGAAAATCCGGATCCGGTTGGAAAAAACGGATCCGGCACACCCCTAGTCATTACTCACTCAGAAGAATTAGTATCATCTACAATCACCAGGGACTCCACAGAGACCCCATCCATTCAAACTTGATTTGTGTACAATGCAAAAAAAGAAACAGCCTTCAGACTTTTCCATACAATTTTAGCTTTGTTTGCAAATGTTTTATGTATTAAATTGTGCAAGCTGCTTTAAACTTCTTACTTGTAACATACTATTTTATGAATTTTTATTTTCATGGCTGGTGAATATACAGCATCTTTAATTGCTTTGCCAACTGCATTTCGTTTTATTGTAAACTACACCGTCTTTAGTATAAAAATATAATATTATTTAATTTAATAACTGAAATTATTTCTAGTAAATGAAAAAAAAATTTTGTCTTGTTTTAAGGGCTGACATCCTCAGTGAGGTACAATCAGGATCAGCTTCCAAGTTACCAACTACTCGTACTGTTCTTGTTTTAGGTAATTTTGGTCACTGCTAAAATATTGATAGCAGTGATTACAATTTTTATTTTTTATTTTAGCATTGAGCTATTCATACAGCTTAGATTCCTAAGAACCTTAATTGAAAGTTACAACAACAAAAAAAGTATTATTCCAAAATCATTATATATTTTTAATAATTTAAAATAAAAAAAATTAAGTTATTCTCTTTGAAAATGTTTAAAGTTTAATACAAATATTTTAAATTTATAATGCTTTGATTTTTTCTTTAATAAGGTGATAATGAATCTGGGAAAACCACATTGATAGCAAAGCTTCAAGGTCTAGAAGAGCCAAAAAAGGGATCAGGCCTGGAATATTATTACATCGATGTTAAAGACGAGTATCGAGATGGTAAGCACCTAAAATTGTATGTCATATATTTCACACTGACATAGCACAGCAGTCCCCGTGCAAAGCTGAGCTGTCCCTCCCAGTTTTCCCTTAGTGGGGATAAATGGAATATGACCACATGTAGGGGATCAACCATTAATAAGTAATTAAGTACCACTACATCTCATACGCACAGAAGATTGAACTGGGTAGTGGGTGATACCCTTAATTGCTATAAAATAAGCAATTCAGTGTAATCTCCTTTCAAAACTGTTTTAAAATATCTTTTGTTCCAGGGGATGGTAAAATATTGTTTTCACAGGGAAGTACAACTATCCCGTAATTAGCTTATAATTTTATTTAATCAGGGTAATGTCAGTGAACTGGTGTGTTTTTTAATGCATCACTCTTAAATTATATGTTATGAATATTATTTTTAAAGTTTTGATATATGTTACATACTTTTCTCTTATATTAACATTTTAAAAAAAAATAAATGTTCTTGTCTATTACACTAGACAATTGCTGCAAATGTTACTTTTACCCCTTTGTTTTTATTCTGCATTTATAAAAAGCATTTAAAAAAAATTAAAATTATTGATTGGGGTTTTCAATGTCTTGGTTTATTGCAGATTGATTATAAATTTTTGTGCACTGTGGCTTTTTCATAAAACCATTGATCTGTGAATTCATGCAACCGGAACATATGTGTTCTGCTGCATGGGATAATCTTAAAGTTGCTTGCTGCAAATTCAAGTTGTTGACTACAAAAAGTTTTGGGATTTGGTACTAAACCATTTGCAATGACCGGAGTGCATTACAGCAGTCAAGATTTTTAAATATGAAAAATTTCTCAGAATGGCTTTGAGTGCCTTAGAGCCATCACTGGTTTTATTTTAAAAGTTGATATTTATTGTGGCTTTACAAAAATCTTGAAGACATTATTTTTAAAACCTCTCCATTTATAACATAAGATGAAAAAAGTATTCACCCCATTAAGCCTTTATGAAAAGTGATTAATTTGTTTCAGAACAAGCCCGGCTAAATGTATGGGTCTTAGATGGTGATCCACATCATACAGGACTGCTGAAATATGCCCTTAAGGAGGATACTTTCAGTGATACTCTAGTCATGCTAGTTGTGTCTATGGCCCAGCCTTGGGCTTTGATTGAGACACTCAACAAATGGTCAGATGTACTAAGGGATCATGTGGACAAATTAAGAATCCCTACAGACAAGATGCAGGAATATGAGCAAAGTTGTAAGTATAAAAAGAATTCTAAACATTTCAAGTCACCTGTTCTTTGAGACAAGTAATAAAAGAACAAAGAAATTCAATTTATTTTGAAAAGTCTCAGTGTTTAAGAGAAGTTCAATACATTTTGATAAATCTCAGTGGTTAATAGCAGTTTGAGATATTAAAAAATGGTTGAATGTTATTTTCAATTATTCAGTAATCCTAGGTTTAATAGTGAGGTAGTTTATGAATATTTTTGATGTTCAAAGATGATGTCTTCATTAAAAAAAAATCATATTAATCATTCATTATGTATGACCACTCACTGAGCTTTATGTACAAATACATAAAAAGAATTTTGTTATTAGAAACACATAGCAGGTATTAGTACTTCCTATAACCTTGTGCATGTTTTCAAGATGTATTATGCATCAGCTGAATCAACTCTATAAATCAATACCCAACATCATTGATAGCATGATGCACTTTGATGATTTGGATAAAAGTGCAAGAGAACAGTGAAGTGAAATGGAAGGGTTTTTTTTTTTTTGTTTTTTTTAAATTTTAAATTCCACAAAAATTAGTGTCGGCACCAAGAAACTCACAACCCAAAAAGATAGCAAAGAAAATTTTTTAATCAATATATAAGTACAACATTGCTTGTAAGGATTTACCTGTACCACAGAAATGAAAACTTGTTCACTTGTGTTATAAGTTAATGGCTCATAACTCACAACATAAGTCAGAGGGTTTACAGTTAATTACAGTAATATTGTAGGGGTTGCAGGGTAAAAGTTGCCAGAGAGAGAAACCTGTATTTACTGATAGATTGCTAAGAAATCAAATAAACTGACTGCCCAGCTTAGCATGTGAGTTTAGGACAGAGTTGGTAAATAGAAAAGTCTTTTACGTTGTGTGCTAAACATTTCTTCACCCAGCCACACGCCCCCGCCGCCCCCCCCCCCTCACCCATTAATTCCCTGGCTATAAAACCACTCTTCCTGCCTTTGGCAATATTTACAATCAGATATTGATTTTACTCACTTGATGCAACAGTTTGTGAGTTGTCAAATGTTTTTAAGTGGCTTGGTCAATACATTGTAACACATGCTCACAACTCTATCACTTGTTTATGGCTTATTCATTCTTTACCTGTCACTTTCATTACGCCCAGATTTAGGATATCATAGCTACAAAAGGTCTATAGCCAGGGTAATAAGTTCTAGGTTCATGAATTTATTTTTATTTAATAAAAAGAGTTGGTGGAACCCCCCCCCCCTTTTCAACATTGGCATAGATGTAACTATTTTGGATTGAGTCCAATCCAAATGAGTCCAATCCATATAACTTATCCTCACATGTTAAACCTGAAAAAATTCTTTCTTTTATTCACCTGGTAATTGAATGATTAGACTTGTGTGACTCATACGAGCTAAGCCTAATCCAGGTGTGGCTTACAAATTTTCATATTGAATTTTTTTTTAAAACTTGTCAGTGATCAGGGTATATCAAGCATATACAGAACCTGGGGACGGACCAATAGCCACACAGGCCCCTCCCAGAGGGGATATAAATCCACTACATCCTCCTGCTGCAGGTTCAGAGGAGGAACATGTTCTACCTTTAGGGGAGCTAACACTGTCACGAAACTTTGGAATTCCTATAGTAGTTGTAGTAACCAAGGTATGCTGGATCCATAGAAAAAATAAACTTAACTTAAACTGGCTAAGTCCTGGTTTGGATGTCTCAAGGCTGGATGTTAATTTTATAAAAAATTATGCTTTCTTTTCCAAGTGGAACCCATTTAATTTGTTATAATTTAAATGTATTTAAAACTTCTGTTGCTATTTGGTGTTGTGAGAGCAAATTTTGTTGCTGACCTGTATAATTTACATGATCTTTGTGTCTCCACAGAGTGATGCAATCTCTATGTTGGAAAAGGAGTTAGACTTTAAAGATGAACATCTAGATTTTATTCAACAGCACATTAGGAAATTTTGTTTGAAGCGTATCCTTCCATTAAAACTGGTCTATTCAAATACATGTTGTTTTATTATTATTATTTTTGAAATGATAAGTATGTTATGATAAAGATTTACCTCAATTACATCCAAAATGAATTATTTGTAAAAGCCTGTTTAATATCATGGTCACTGTTTAAATGATAAATAGTTATTTATATTTTGCTTTTACCAGACTTTAACTCATATGAAAAGATGGTGCTGCGATGTTTTACACGTCAGTCAAAGATGAGAGAAATTGTGATTTATTGTATAGATATTTGGTTCACAGGATATATGGCTTTCCCTTCACATCACCAGCATTGGTTGTGGATAAAGATTCTGTATTTGTGTAAGTTACTATTTTCTAAGAATTACTAAGATACATTTTTAAAAATTAGGTTTTTATAGCTGAGATTATTTGTTTTTAATACAACTGTAGTCTCTTTCTTTATGTCAATTTATTAATTATTTTCATTGCTACAGTTTAAATATTTCCACTCCTTTCTCAAATTAACCTCCTAGATTTCCATACATGGCTTGAAACCTTTTGCTAGTTCAGAGGTCAACTAAAGCATCATTGGGGAGAGGGGGGGGCAGGGGGGGTGGTTGTTTGGTTCATAAACAGGAAAGAACAAAGTCATTAATTTTAAAATAAATCTTTAATTTTTAATTATGAATGACATTTGATTTCAGATAAATTTAGGCATACATGTCCAACTGATAGACAGCTTGTTTGCAAATGTTTTTATCCACTATTGTAATATTTTTCTTACAAATGTTATCACCTTCTTACACCAAGTTTACTCCCATCATCCCCAGGCCATCAGGATGGGACAATGAGAAAAAGATTAGCATACTGTATGAAAATATGACCTCGATGAAACCAGATGATCCTTTCGAAGATGTCATCAACAAACCTTCTACAAGGAAGGTACTAAAGCTGTGATATCTAAACTCTCAAAAGATGAGGGATTGAAAAATTAGTTATATCTGACAGTCATTCACTCCAGAACATACACAAACATAAATGAATCTCTTTAGGGTAGGTCTTTGGGATCCAATCCTTATCTTTTCTGCTCGATTTTTGCACTTTCCCAAATGAATTTGTCTGTAATAATACAACTAAGCTTAAGGCTAAAATTGTCAATATCTGACTCGTTTACGTAGAGCTAACACTGTCATTTCTAGCACATGGAATATTTCTGAAATGATTGCCATAATTTTAATCCATTTGAAACAATTCCAGTAAAGAAATTCTGTGTTGATTTTGCAATCGAGAAGGGACACTCTCCAGCATCAGACATGGTTGTGGGAAAACATTGAGAAAATTTCATACCCGATTAATCAAAAAAAATCTGTGATAAAAGCATGTTAGCACACACATAATGAAAATAGGAAACAAAGTCATTTATATTGAGTGGTTTCCCCATAACCAATATACATTAAATTATTTGCATTTTTAATTACGATTTTGCTAATTGGGCCTTGACACCAAATATCCTCTCTGGGTTTAAAGAAGCAGACATTACCTTGTGTCGTTGATGTCAGTTTCTGGTATCATTTATATAGGAGTTTATTAGTATTAAAATGGTGTTTTTCATTTGGTTGTAGGTTGTCCAGCGGGATGCTGAGATCACTGCAGAAGATGAACAAGTTTTCCTTATGAAACAGCAGACACAGATTTCTAAACAGCCTGTGCCGGGGACATCACCGGCACCAGCTGTAAGTTGTGTGGCGGTTTGTTTTGTGATTTAGACACTTTAAACTGTTGATTTAAAAAGTATCTGTTGTGGTTTTTATTTGGTAGAAGTTGTGTTGCTTTTCTGTCTTTTTAAAAAAAAATAAAAAAATATTTGACTTTTCGTTACAGGAACAAACACCTGTTCCAAGACAACCGAGGCCTCAAGTTCATAAAACACCAGAGAGAACACCCGCTCCTGCTAATGCTGGAACACCTATTCGAGGCAAAGTATGTTTGAAAGTTTCCTGATTATTTTTATCTGCATATATTTTTTAATGTTTTAACCTTTATTTGATTCATATCACTACATGATACAAGTTTTTAAAAATCTATGTTTTTTAATAGTAAATCAAAACTAAATATAGTTTTTCTCTTGGAATTAAATTTTCTAATTCTTTTTTTTTTTTTTTCGTTAAGCAATTATAATTTAAGTTAATATTGTTTGTTCTGTTGTTGTCAGGATGGCAAGCCTCAAGCAGGGAACACAACAGAAGGAATGTTAGCTAACTTTTTTAACAGTCTTCTCAGTAAAACACCAGGACAAGCAGGTCCAAGTATGTTCCTCAGTTGGTCTCCATTAATGTTGTTCTCATTCCTGTCACGGCTTTCATCATATTACTTTTGTTGCTTGCGCTGGTGTTATTTTCACGATTCATCTGTTCAAAATTTGAGAACTGTTTTCACAGTGAAACAGTTTCTTTTTCTTATCATTTGTTCCTTTATTTTCTATGTCATATTATAATCTAGATTTAGAATTGTGGGACAAATAGAAAAGCACTTCTTTTAACATCTTGTAGAAATTAACACTGTATCATTGATCTCTCCAAACATTTAGCATCAATGAGTGGAGCAGAGCATATTGGTAGGACTCGTTTTTTTTCTCCCCCTCTAAAGTAGAATAGTAGATAAAGTTTAATTATTTTGAAATTGCATTGGTTGAAATTTGAATGTTTTGTTTGGGGCTGTTTAATTTTTGATGTGAAGAATTTCGAAATATTAAAATTACTGTCTCTCTCTTTCTTTTGTGAGCGCTCTTAAGTTTTATTTCTAAATGTCTATTGATTTTATTAGCTGCAGTGTTCCATTTGTTTGCAATTTATGTGTTCTTTAAATTTATTTTAAAAAATGTGCTTTTTTTTTTGTTTGTTTGCATCCTGGTACATTAACCCTGGCTGACAATCATTAAATGCTATTCCAGACAAAGCTGCTGTGACCAGGGATGCTGCAGCTGAACTGGAGCGCATGACAAGGGGCAAGAAGACCATAGACTCCAACAATACATCAACAGATTCCCAGGGATCACCCTCTTGATGACCTCATCATGGCCATTGTTTTTACTTACAAGCCAACACCCATATCAGACACCGGGCTAGAATTCTTCCTTTCTTCAGTCGGCACATGGCTACAGTTGGCACCCCTGGCCAAAGATTCATTCATGCTTATTAATATTTTAACTTCAATCATTTATTTTTATTTAAAAAAAATTAAATTAGTTTTTATTTTTTTAAAAAACAATCTTTTTACAAACCGCTTAATATCCCTATTTTTATTGGTTAATTTAAAATAATTTTCGTACAAGTTTGATTAGCTAAAATGCCTCCCAATCTTAACACATTAAAAAAAAATATTAATAAGTTATGCACCAATATACAAAAAGAATATTACAATTCTCTCTTGTCAAGCTTATAATGAACGCAGTCCAACTTAGTGTTGTTTATGTGGTGCCGTTTGCTTCAACCTAATGAATGAAAACTGATGACTAGTGGCTGGCTGGGACAGCACTCAATGAACAGATTTCTTCAAACAGTGAGTTGGGTGGAGAGGGGGGGGGTGGTCTTACAGCAAAAAATGGTAATTTCATAATATAACAACGGAAGGTTCTTCTGTCATTGCAATTAATGTGTAAAATTCTTAACATATACTTGGCTTTCAAGTTATTATAATTATATAAAAAATGTTTTTTAGATTCTTTTGTAGATTTCTATTTTTTTAACAATGCCATTTTAGTTTCAATAACCCTTCTCACTTAGATCATTGCCATGGTTTTGTTATGTTAAATTGATGTTTTAAATAACTAATTTTTAAGATTGCTTACTGATCTAAGTCAGTTTCAAAATCCTTGTCCATTTAAAATGAAAATAAGTGAAACATTTGTATTATTTTGTGCCATTTTTATCTCGACACCATATTTGATTACTTCCTGCTTGGAAACTTCCTGTCTGGTTGTTGAATATATTTCAAGTATCCGTGCATTTATTGCAGATGTAGCAATATCAATAATTTATTAGTAAATTTTTCCTTTGGGCCCTATGACATTTCGTTTGGTAATGGCACATTTTATTAGAAAGTAGAACCTGATTTCAATTTGGCATTGGATTTCAACTATTTATTTGTATATGATAAGGCCTCGAAGAATAAACCAGCACTTCACAGTTGTAGATGTTTGTTCTTTCGGTGATGCCCTTGTTACTGTATGAATTTTAAGGGGCTCGGTCTTCCTTTCAATCTTTCACCTGCATCATTATTGTGTAACCATGGCAACCACTTGACTTGCAGCTTTGTTTGTTATTAGTAGTTATATAAAAAAAAATATTCCTCAATTCTCTTTTTCATCACCTTTGGTATGTATTGGTCTTTCATGTCCTTCCCATCCCCCCATTTCTCTTCCCCCTTCACTGCCAAGCTTTGGTGGAGGTGGGTGGGGCATTATTCCAGCTGTAACCTCACAGGTTTATTTTCACACCTGGTTTGTTCATTCATTCATTAATTTATATGTAGTTTTGTTGTGAATGGTGTGCATGGATGCCATTGTCATGTATGTGATGCTAACTTGTTAATCTAGGGTGACACGTGTACATAACAGGATATTTCTTTAATTTTTTTTGTCTTGTTTTGTTAGTTAACAGAGGTGTGAATGGCCAATGATTAGTGATTGTGTCTTTGTAACTGTAAACTGTAAGGCCAACAATGATTAATTTGTTATGTATCACACAGTTGCCAGACCAAATGGGGATTATAACTTAACCTTTGTTTTTTTTGTTTTTTTGTTGTTTCAAAGTTAATTTTCTGCCTCACCTGAAGAATTATTAGTGGAGATAACTCAGCCAAACAGCAGTCCTAATTGATTTAATAAAATCTTAATAATCCATTCATTGTTTCACTTATAAGTCCAGATATATTCTTTTAATAGTCAAGTAATAATCCTTTTTCAGGCCTTAAAAATTCCAAGAGTTGTCTGGTAATGTAAAACATAGGTTAGTGGAAAAACCTGGAAGATAAAACAAAATAATTTTTAAAAGTTGTGATTAAGTTTTTAATTATTTATTTTTTTAGGGAGTGTGAATTAAAGTAATCTAGTCATTTTCTCATCTGATTCAGATTTTTTTTTTCAAAAGCAAATTGCTAAAGTCCAATTATAATACAATATCTTTGTACAATACTTAAATACCCTTCATATTTTATAAATGACAAATTCTAGTAATGCTTCTATTATTACACATCCACCAAAGTAATTACATCTATGGCCACTTACATCTAAGAAGTACCGGTATCTAAAATGAAATAATTTATTGCAATAGTAAAGAAAGCCTTTAGTTCAAACTTTGGAAATTATTTATGTGTACATAATAATATAACCCAGTACAGAATATTTCAATTATTCTAATATCATTAACAACTGATCTGATTTGAAGCTTATGATAATCTGCACATCACATGTGGGCTACTAGTAACTGGTTCAAAAGTTTTTAGTTTTAAAGATATAGTAAAAGTATATTAATTTATTTGACTGAGTTAAAGGTTACTGCTTATAAAGTGCCAGTTAACTATCTGGAATTTTTATTATTAAAATATTTTTTTTAAGGCTAGACCAATGCTGAGAAATAAAATGTAATTACTCCATTTATTCTAATCTCTATTGCTTTGCGTACCCCAACATGATAAGCTTCAGACCACTGAGCTCCCTGCTTCGTGTAATTGAACTCACTGTTCCATGCGATGCAACATCCTGCTTCCTGTAAAAAGTAGCTTTTGTTTTGAGCCATAGCCTGCCATCAGTTAGCATGAAATCCCATGACATACAAACTGGTGGACAATCACATTCAGTGTCTTGTGTTCTAGTGTATCACTTTTATCCATCTCTATATGTACATCATCTTAAGTATTGCTAACATACAAAATTGCCAAAAACTATTTCCTCATTACTGAACACTCTCTCTCCCCTTGTTGTGTAAGGCTTTTAAAAAAAGGGGTTGGGGGGGGGGCATTTTGTAATAAAGCAACACACACTGTTATTCTACTTTTATTAACATTGTCACACAAAAATGGCCCCACAGATACTGAATAGATTTCTGTATTTTAAAAGAAAAATCCATGCCACTGTGTCCACAGCTGTAGTAGGAGGACAAGTGACAGCTTATTTTGTTGTTTCATCATATTTGTTTATCTTCTTGTTGTTGATGTTGAATCTAACATGTGAACATAATCTTGGCTAATGTGTACATTCAGTTATTCTTGTGTACCATATTGTGATTGTGAGAAGTTCTTTAAAATATTACGCTTATTTTAATTCTCTCTGAGCTGTAAAAACACGAGTACAAAATAATATATTAACTTAAAACATGTATGAATAATGAACATGTGTATACTTAGCATTTAGGAATGTTTGTAGCTTTCAATAGTTCCTATCGTGGTGTTTGTGCGAGTCTGGTGCTGTTTCTTTGTAACCAGAATTGTGTTAATCATGCTTTAATGGTGTTGTTTTTTCTTTGAGATTATTGTGTGCATGGTGAAATCTGGTTGTTCTAACTTGTAATGGAGTGATTGATTCACAGTCAAAGAGTTGTAGATAAAGTTTCAAGTAAGTCTGTTTAATCATGAATTTAGACAATTTTTAAAAAAAGTTTCTCATTATTGACATTGTGTTTATTTGATACATGCTGGATGATTATTTAGTTGTTGGGTATGTGTGAAGCTTTTATTGATTTCTCAAGCTTTTGGTTAAAAAGTCTACAAAACTGGGGAGCAACTTAATTCTCATTCCTTTTTTTTTCCACTCCAGTTCCTTTATTAACCCCAGTAGTAATTGCCTGGTGTATCGGAGCCACCAGGATTTTTTTGTAAATTAAAAGCTTGAAAACAAACTTCAATTCAGCGATACTCTCAGACCCTGAGTAGTCTGTCATAAAGGATTTTTTTATTTTTTTAAAATTAGTATGCAAGTAAGTTCTTTTTTTATTTTTTTGGAGAATATTTTACCCTTTTTACAGTTAATTTTTAGAGTTTGAGACATGTGGAAAAAAACCAGTTCATGTTCGGGTCATCCATAGAGTGAGTTCGCTTAACCTCAAGTTATTCTGTATTTCGTTTTAAATATTTTCTTTGCACTTCACATTTATTAAATGTTCCATTGAACTTGAACAACTGTCTTCTCTAAAGACAGATGTGAGCAGGAAAAGAAGTCCAACTGTTGGTGATGCTCTGTGCCCAAGTGGACTCCCATGATCCACAATAGAAAATATAGAATCTGAAAGATTTCCAATTTGCTGCTGCTCTATATTAAATAATAAACTTGGTAAATGCACCTCAGTCAGGAATTACAATTTTTTACTTGGCAAGTACAAATTTATAATCAGGTGTTGATGAAAAGAGCTTCCGAGGTTAGATAAGTCTAAATTGATGTGTTTAAATTTTCAGTTTCGTAGTGGAACTGTGTAAACATTGTTATTGTAAAATTTTAGTGTTTTTACCATCATTTAACTTTGCTTATTTAAATTATGTAAATTCAGGAATTTTCGCTCCGATGCCTGTTTCTATCTGAGGTGCATCAGATTTCCTAAATGAGTACCCCCAGTTTAGAGAACAATATCATGTAATGTTTAGTGTTGATGTCATTGTTGCCATGCAAGCTCTGCTGCATCTTTTTTTAACCCTTGCCTCTAACTATACATAGTAATTTATTTAAAAAAATTTTTTTTGAAGTATAGTAAATCAACTTTTAATTGTGTCAGTAAGAATGAAGTACCTGGCACATAATAATTCTATCAGTAAAACCAATAATGAGGCATTGAGATTTGATTATTTAAAAATATCTAATACGGTAGTAAATAGTAATTGTGGCATTTGAATTTAACGATGTTATAAAGTGATTTGGTAAATTGTTATAGAAGTAAATAAAAAACCATCCATTTTCATAAATTTAGTTCAAAGTTTTAAAAAATGGATATATTTTTGTGCTGTCCAGCTATTTGGGAAAAGAAAGATGTAGCAATTTTTCATGATCAGCCTCAACACTTGTGCAATAAAGATTATCCAAACATTCCATTGTTTTATGTGGATTTAGTGTGTTGTCTGTAAACATGAACTGATGCTCTCTCTGCATAAGTAGGTAAAAAAATTAACCAATGCCAGTTAATGACATCACTCATGATGATGTGCTCTATAGCTGGACCGTCAAAGAAAATAAATAATCTTTTACCTGGGGTACCATATAAAAAGTTCGTGACTTCATCCGAATTATTCTAGGTGTATGCTCAGCTTACTATCACAAATTAATTTTTTTTTAAAAGAGCTATATCTACTGACATAACATTGTTGAAATAACAAAAGATGAACAATAGTTTAACACCTTGCTGTTTTTATGGAATACAATTACAATGGCAAATAAATTTCATTTGAAATGATCGTTATCCTAAAAAATGCTAATTCCACATGGAGTTTAAATATGTAATCAAAGATGTGACATTAGATACACAGACTTAGCTCAAATGAAATTTTAACAATGGCTGAATGTTAAACATAATGAAGTTTTTTAAATGGAATTTCAAATGTTTTATCAGAAAGAACAAAATTGTTAACTACAAGTTTGAAATATTGGGCAAAGATTCGCAATCAACATATAAAAAGTAATTAGATGTTAATTTACTATGACATGTTACTGGAACGGAACGTGTAATTATGCATAGAATCTTTTGCTTGCAGGGACAGAGTATAAACAATTGCAGAAAACATGATAGACATTGATATTTAATGACTTCAGTTGATAACTCATCCAACCCACCTTGGTTTCAATATTTATACAATGATGAAAATATTTATATTAATGTGCTTCAAGTGTTGTAGCAATGAAAGCCATCTTTGAGATCATATGTTATTATAATTAAACATCCATTCTTTTCAAACTCAGATATTTATCTGGTCAGCCTTTAACAGTAGATTTCATGATTGTAGAGAACGGTCATTTATAAAAGAAGAGCAAAAATTGAAATAATGTAAGTTCGTCACCACAAAATATATTTCTAAGAAATGGACAAAAAAATGGAATTCAACAAGGTGGGGCAAATAACCCTGATGCATATTTCCAATTGTGTGAACATGAAAGGCATTTATTTTCCAAAACAAATATAAAATTACCAGTTAATATGTTGGGGCTGGGTGGAGGCAGTGGACAAGACAAGATTTATTGCAAGCAACTGTAGTTGAACATAAATGTATAAATCACAGAATGAAAAATAAAACTTACTAACATCAGATTTGCATAGTAACATACATTTTTCTAGGTCTAGTTTATCTCCAGATAACTTTTTTGTAAATAATTGAATCTAACATCTTAAGTTCTGTTCACTCAATATGCAATATAGATATAACCCGAAAGATGTTATTAAAATACAAGCAAAGCTTTTTTAAACATAACTAAGTAGTCCCTTTAAATTTTCTGGGATAATGGATGGACATTTGCATTTACTCCTAAAATAAATATAAATTTAAAATCTGTCAACATTTTTTATGTTTTATTGTTGAACAATATCAAACATTATCAGGATTTAACTAAGGCCCCCATCAACTCCATTTTATTCTTGCAAACTTTAGGTAACTTTAAAATAACACTGCAGCTCATTCAATTCTACTTGGTGAATCTCAGCTCTATAAAAAAAAAAAAAAAAACTGCTGATTATTATGCTATTATTGCTATTGCATATTTAAGCAAGTTCCCACCATTCATACCGGTGGCATCTCTGAGACGTTCTCTAATGATACAGCCCCTAGGTACCAGAGCAGCAGCATGTATGCAGAAGAACAAACTAAAATGACAGTGCCAATCCATAAAACTATTATCTGAAATATTAAAAAAAAAAAAGAATATGGTCTGAATCAAATGTCATGTTAATTAAGAATTTTTAACAAAGTTCATGAACAAAATGTTTACATCAGTTTTGATCATTTGTATTTCTTTCATAATATTTGTATTAGATATAAAACTAATCATTCAAAGACTATAAAAATAGGGTTTTCTCCATGATTTATCTTTACTTATTTAAATTAAATGTGTCACTTCAGGAATGTTTTCTCTGATGCTAGTTTCTATCTGAGGTGCATCAGATTTTATAAAACATTTGCCTAATTACACTGGGCCACAGATTTAAATAGGTAGAAAACCACTATTTTATAAGAACTGACAATTATTTTCCCTAATCCAGAATAGATATGTAAAAGCATTAGAATGCAGATCAAATTTCAAAACATATTTGCAAAGCTTAAATTTAAATACAAAAACAATGAATATTCTTTCAATAAATCATTTTTGTGAAAAGTCACCTCTTGTGTCATTTGGAGTGTAAATAGTAAACAAAATTATTCATTGTTATGCCTTTTCATCATTGGACTGGTATGTATTTCTGTGATCAATCATAAATGAAGTGAAATAATTACCTGAGGTGAAAGTTCATTGTGTTGTTCTGCTTTAGCTTTCATAGACTTTATTTCTTTTTTAGACTTCTTCCAATCTTGCTTTCCTGCAGGAAAAAAAAAAAAGTTTTTTAAAAAAGAGGAAGATCAAGATATATATTTCTTGACGGAATTCCTATAACTATAATTCATTTAAAACAAGTTATAATTTAAATATTAAATAAACATAACATAAGGAAATATTTTTTTTTTAAAATCAAATTAGAGCAAATAAAAAAATAATACCTATTTGTTTCCGATACTGATCCACAGGTTGGCAGCGGTTTGTGTTAGCATCTTTTTTACCCATTTCCAAAACTCAACTAAATCCTTTTGTACATATGTTCTTGAGTTAAGAAATGCTGTAAACAGTTCTTTCCACAAATCGTCTGATTAGATGGCTGGAATCCTTATTTAAAGATGTAGATTAACATTTTTAAGAATTGTAATGATTCAATAATTGAGGGCAATCATCTGGGGTTGCTGAAAAACTTAACATTCACGTAAGTGTATATACACTGAATGTCATTAGACAAAACATTAATAGACCAAAAGTCATGGTAGACAAAAAATCAATATCATAATGGCCCAAAGGTAAGTAAATCAAAAGTCAGTATGCGAAATGTCTGTAAATGAAATGATGCAGATGTAATGTCTGTGTAAACACATTGCCATGCAACCATAGAATGTTAACTAAAAATTTGAAACGAAAGAACACTTTTAGCGCAAAAAGTAGAGACATTCACAAAAACTTGCCAGAGAATGATCCTGAACATAAAATGGCCAACATCAACAAGAATGACTTACTGCATTGAGTTTGAGGACATATCAAGAGCTTATTTTAGTATTGCTGAAGACTGAAGACATAACAAGGAAAAGATTTGGATGGAGATGGATAGGGCAAACTCTTTAGTAAATCACTAGAAAACATTACCAGACAATCATGGAACCCAAAAGGACAAGGAAAGTCAAAGAGGCAGACTTGAGACACAGCAAAGTATGGGATACACAGTGAGAAGGGGAATCAAGTGGAATGGAAAGCAAAGGAGGGAGAAGAATGGAAAGCACTTGTATTTTAGTTGTAGTAGTAGTAGTAGTAGTCTTAGAAGGGCTTAGCCTTAGTTAGCCGATTTTAACGCCCTGGGCAGATGCACCCAGGACAGGGCACAGGGGGTTCCGCCACTGAACGGCCCTGATAATAAATTATTAATATCACTGATTACCGAGAGCCCCTCTAAACCCGTAAATAATTAAAAATTATAATTAAGAAGTGGTACAAATTAATACAGTGACAGTATACAGTCATCACTATAATTAAATAATATAATATACAAGTTTAAACTTTATAAAAAATAAATAAGTTGAAGTGTCGGCTATGGACCATCATCCAATGAAATCCATCAATGCATCATGGTCATAGTTATGGTAGCAATATCCCACTCTAGTGTAACAATACATTGCGTGAGAATGATACAAACGTACATCATATGTTTTATTCAATAAGCTAGAGGCTAAATAATTCAGTCATAACATGGTAAAACATGCTATAGTCCATTTCTAATGTAATGGATTGTGGTGGGATGGAGTCTGACTATGATTATGATGGTTAATGGAGAGATGTCGTGTTGTCAAACAATAAAGGTGAGAGGTCAGTCAATTATAATAACAATTATAATATTTTAATATAACATTATTTTAGACAAATAATTTTAATTAGATGTTATTTAGTTTTAAAATAAGAGTAAAAATATTTATGGACAATAATTAAATTTTTTCTTTGCAATTTCTTAAAATTAAAAAACAAAAACAAATAAAACTACATCCAAACCTAGCATATATAATTAACAATATGACTCTCTTGGAAAAAAGTTCGAATTTCTCTCTTTCGTTTCTTTACTCTTTCCACAAATCTACGGTGCCACGAATAAACTTTTGCAGCTGTTTCATGCGAGTGTTGCAATAAAACAGTAAAGAAAATGCCTGTAGGTTATATTTAAATAAACAGGATATATGAGTAAAAGAAAGTTTATTCAGCCACTTTTTGTCATACCGTTTAATCTAAATGGCTGTTTGCCATTGTGCGTAAAAGTTAAAGTCTGAAGTTATAGATAGTTTACTGTTTTTGGTAGCCCTGTTTTTTTAGCTGTCGCTGTTTTACTGTGTCACACTGTGTGTATGTTGGTGTGTAGCCTAGTATTAGTATAGACTGGAGTTGTGTGTACTCATCAAGAGTCTGAAAAGTCGAGACTTCAGAGCAGTAGTCTTGATTTGAGAGACATTAGAAAAAATGGACACTTTTAAGACTGGTAGTTAAAGACTACACACACTGATACCATACAGTCAACAACAGTAACAGCATCATATTCATGGTGAAGAAAGAGGGGTGACAGGAGCAAAACCTCAGGCCCATACTCAATCCCTCTCACCACTAACCCCTTTCTGGTCATTGAAATATATTTTTAAACCCTTTATTCAGTTTCCATATTCATATATATTTGTGTGAAATGCTGTGTTAAGTTGAAATCTAAATCATGTATCAACAATTGATTGATTGAATTTATTTGTCAATTTAAAAAAAAAATTATCATCCTAATGCTGGAAAAATTATACTTTGTTCAAATCCCCAAAAGAGTTGCATATTTACTTTGTTTGCAACTCAGAATATTTGTTAAATTTACGCTTTTCAGCTTTTCATGACATGACACTCATTTCAGTGTTTTTGCACTACTTTCTTCCACTGCCGCCATCTTTGTTGCCATGCTAAAATGCAAGTAGAAAAGGAGAGAATATGTTGTTGTAACTATGTACTACTTAATGTGACAAAATGAAATGATGAAAGGAATGAGAATAGTTGTTTTTTGTTTTTTTAAAGAAAAATATTGAAAGAAAGAGGTTTTTTTGAAACTTGCATTGCATAAAAATGATAATTAAAGAACATCTAATAATTTGAAAAAGTGAAAAATTAAACAAATTGTAAAGAAAAATGACCTTTTAAAATCATGCACAATTAATGCAATAATTTTTTAAGAAAACCCTTTAAACCTAAATTTACAACTCTACCTAACCTGAATGCTATCAGTATCCCTAACTTTAGTGTAAATTCACCCCTAAATTTATACCCCCCTAACTTGAGCGTAAATCTTTAAACATAAAATCTATGACCTAACGTGAACCCTAAATCTAATTGTTTGTGTGCTGCAGTTACACACTGTACTGATAAAATCATAAATTTGAATAAAGAGATTAAGAATATTTTTAAAATATTCCAAATAATGAAAACCTAAGTTACAGTTTCATTGAATACACTTTTACTTTTACACACTACAGAAATCCAAAAGTTGTCAGAAAAGTCAAAATCAATTTTTCAAAATGATCATACGATCAAACAGACAAAAAAGCTTTGTTTTGAAATGTAATTAACTACGCTATCAAATATTAATTCTAAAAATCCATCAGTTATAAACAATACATCAGTGTATTAATATAAAAAAGAGAATAGTTAACTCTAATAACAATCCACAACTAAACAAATGAGAGAAAATGCTACACAGAAACTCAGTGTGGCGCGGAAAGCATATATTGACAGAATATTTGATCAGTATCCTTAACCTAACTAGTTAATGCTGACTTGAGCCAATTAAAGAAATTAAAATCTTGTGACACCTAATTAGGTATTTTTTAAAGTCCCCACAAGAACAACTCGATTATTGAAAATAAGCCTCAAAACTTGGTATAGTTTCATGATTTTAACTCTTTAATTTTGTAAAGAACTCTTAGCTAGCTCTATAAAACTTAAGGAAAGAAAGGAAGATAAAAAAAACTATTAGGCCTACCAATGAATTGTAAGTTACAGTGTTTTTCTTTTAAATTCTGGTTTAATCTTTTATCGTTTTAAAAAAATTATGCAAAATAATTAATTTTTTTATTCTATTTTATTTCATTCAAATTCCAGCCAAAAGGAAAGCAAGCTACCAAAGGCAAAAAACAAATAGCAGAGGAGAATAAATCAACCCTTAAGTTTTACACTTATATTATCTCTGCAGTGAATGTAAGTTTCTTTCTGTCCATTCTTTGTAAAAAGTTTACCAACACCTGCATATTCCACTTAAGGCTACAGATTTTTAGCCCAACCTTGCATTAAATTTGCATGGAGACATAAGAAGGCTTAGAATGAACATGAGTCAGGGCCGTTTATGTATATTATTAATATGTGTATTAAAGAAAAAGTAAGCAGGAGCTGGGCAATTCCATTGTGCCTGCTGCTCTAAGTAGTCTAAGTCTAAGGGTAGATTTTAGTGCTCTCTTACAATACCAACCAAAAAGTTTGTGTAAGTCTAATTTACATATTAAAAATGATATGCAACAAAAACTTGCTTTTGGGTAAGAAGGCCAAAGATGGAAGGCCTGAAAGCAATTTATCTAGTAACATTTTTGATACTCACTCGTGTTATTTGTGGATATGAGGAAACAAATTTCTCTCTAAATGAAATAATTTATACATTTCAGCTAATTTACTATGGTGTGTGGTCATTGTTCTACTGGGAAGATTTCACAACAGGTCCTATAGTAAGTCTTTTTAAAATAGATAATATTATTTAACTGCTAATTCAAATAATGTTTTCTTAAGAAATTTCATTAATTATGCAAATAATTTATAAGTTTTAAATGGTACCAGTATTTTAAAGATGCTACCTGATCTTTATATATTAATTCATACAACAGTGAGCCATTTTCTCCTTATATTTTATCCCTCCTGGCTGCTTCACATCTAAGATATGAATTTTAGTCCTCGCATATACAAAGAGTGTACAAGCAGAGTGAAGCTTTGTTTGGGTATGATAAAATACTAAGTAAAACAATTGGCTCAAAGCTTTAATTAGTTAATATACAACATACTTAAAATTTGAATTGAAGTGAATTACATACAATTTATAAAGGAAAAGAAGAAAAAAGGCAAATGCACCTGCCCACACAAATAAAATAATTCAACTATTTTTAAATACTGGTGTATTAGAGATACCAACTATTTAATTTGAGTGCATTTGTTATCATGTAAAGAAGTTATCTTTGAAGGAAGAGCTTTTTTTTATCCTCCATTTCAGTTTTTGTCTCTGCTCTCTGCTGGGATATACTTTGGGAGTTATCAGTTTATGGCCAGCATGGCAAAAACAGTGTATCAGGATGGTCAGCTGATTGATTCAGGCACTGACCTCAATATGGAAGCTGGCATGGCAGAGTAAGCAGAGTATATATTTTCTTGTCAGATTTTAAAATGAGGGAATGTCTGTAGATTGGAAAATTTATTAAAGTGAGTTTATTAGACACATCTTGTGTCATCTATACAAAGGAGATGAAAGGAATATAACAGCAAAAATATTGAACTGGTGTAAATTGAGGATGCTGCGTCTGATAAAGTTGGTCACCATCCCAGGTAAGTCTGAACCCAATCAATCCCAAGACTAACAATAAAGCAACATAAAAACGACATATTTAGGTAGATGAGACTTGTTAACCTTGATTAGTGCCACATTTAAGAAAAGGAAAGGTCTGACTACAAACCTAATGCTTTGTGGCTGTAACTGTAAAACCTATGGAGACAAATGGAATTTGGCCTTGACAGGAAGATCTGAAAATCTCCTGTGGGTGGAGTGACAATGTAATTGTATTTTTATTCAATGATCTGTCTGGCTCCTCCTGCTAGACCCCAGGTTCCAAGCTGTATCAAACACAAAATGTTCCTGTGGGCTCACCAGCTGTGTGGAGAGTGGAGATCTGCTGACTGGGCAACAGTTGATTCTCCATTAAGAAAACCTTTCCCATGCCTTGTAGTTTGGCTTGAAACACCTCAAGTGAAAAATATCATCAGATGTGAAAATGAAACATACAGAATTGGGTTCATAATATAAATAATATAATGAAGGAAAATAAGATAAGATTTCAAGGCACCTTAAATTTTTACCAACCTTTGAATCTTCTGGGTAATAAATAAATGCCAGGTCTACCTGTAGGTTATATCTTATAATTCATGTCTTGATTGAAAGTAGTGAGTGTTTCTTTTATCAATTTTAATTATTTCTTGACAACAAAGGGGAGAAAATCATGTTTACGCTGCTGTGTGCTTGTCTAAATATTTTTAATTATGATTGTACACTTTTGGGAAATATGTATAATTACAATAGCTTTACTACCCCTTTGTAGTTGTGGATCAGGACAGTTTTAAATTATATTCAATCATTAAAGAGTTTCTATTTGGTTTTTCAGACACACAAAAGATTTGATCTTGTTGACATCCATTGTACAGGCCCTTTCGTTACTCTCTGGCTATTTCTGGCTTCTGTTGTTGCTTGTAAGTATCCAACTCGGCCTGAATGATTCATTAGTATTAAATTGTCCCAGGTCAGCATCATATATGTAAGAAAATAACTAAATGCTGATCATGCAGTATTTTCCTAGCACAAGTTATATTATTATGAAGGCCATATATTATTTCCTTAATGATATTAATCCTAATAATCACATATTCGATTTTCAGGCCCCTGCGCGTGCATTTTATATGCTATGGGTGAACATTCTGGGTCCATGGTTTTTCGCACCAGCAGAAGAGAAAAAAGTTGATGACAAGAAACAGAAAAAAATGGAAAGAAAAATGAAAAGACAACAGGTGGTTAGATGAGAAATGTTACTATAAATAGCTGTGATAGAAATATACATTCAATTATAAATATAATTAATTTGTTTTGTTTATAAGTATAATTCACACTCAGTGATGTCTTCTTATGGCAGATCTTTTAAATATTTTAATAAAAACAAATGTTGGAAAATAGATATTAACAATAATAATTTTAGGTTATCAAAGAATTATTTCAGTTAAATTTGGAACAAGAAACAACTTGTATACCCTGCATCAGTCCATAAGAAACCAATGATAAAGAGTTAAATAAAAAACAAAACAATTATGCCATATTCCATACATTTGTTTAACAGAATTTAGATTGGGATGCTGGGAGAAATTTTTTAAATTGTTGTTGTCTGTACTAAACATGCAAATAAGTTTATTTTTTATGAGTAATTTCGAATTAACCAACTTTGCCAATTTAGATTAATGTCTTTTAAAAAATAATATTAGCATTTTAAAAATGAATTTCCCATCAAGTTGTTTGTGTATGATAGTGACCAGTCATCTTATGGTTTCATTACATTTTTGAGGAAGGTTTGAGTACACAACATGAAGTATGAAAGTGAGTTGTACTAATAATATTCATTCAGGATAAGATGTTGGACTATCTCTATCTATGACTGGGTTGTTCCTAAAAATTAATTTGTGTGAAATGCTAAAAGCGAGACAGACTGACCTCATGTGCGTGAAGTTTTTATTTCACATTTTTTTTTATCATCGTTCCCCTGGTTCGATGGATCGAAGGATATCTTAACATTAAGTACCCAGTATTGATGAATCATGTTCAAAGATCAATTTATTCCTTTAGTGGCCAAGCAATGGCTGCTATGAAGTTAGCAAAATTGTAACATTCACAATTTCTTGTAATTCATATGTCATGTGTAACTTTCTGTCATATTCTGAATAGAGAAGTTTGCTTAAAATGTTGTCTGTGAAAGTGTATGATTAAACTTCATCATTAAATATATGATCCGGTAGGGTGAAAGTGTTTAGGTAACATTAAATACACACTCACTATTTGCCAGAAGGATCCAATGAAAACTTTATGAATTTAGCAGTAAAATTTTCATAACACCCTTTACTTGAAATTGTATTGATTGTCACTTCTAAATTAATTTATTAAAATAAAAATATTTGGAATGTTTTGTGATTTTATGAATTTGAAGCTTAAATAATATGTATACTTTGTTATAAATATAAAATTAATTTTCAGTTTTACATCATTGATTTGTTTGTTATATCTTGAGAATATAAAAAATCTGGAGATTTTAAATTAATAGTAGTTAAACAAGGCGGAGTAACTGTTTAAAGTTTATTTTTATATCAAATACAAAATATTTACAGGAGAGTATTTCATAGCAACTTGATGGTACAGACATTCAACATACTATTTAAATAAGTGGTTTGAATTTGAAATACCAAGAAATCTTCCCACATCTGACAATAATTGCAGAGAAACTTCATTATTATCCACCGGGAAACATTGGCACGTTCCACCCTCTATTTCATAGAACCTAATTCTTGCCAAAAATCAACATGTTTTTCCACGTCATCTTTTATCAATATCACTGTCCTTTTTCATTAAAATAACTTTCAATAATCCCTTATTATGGATACAATATGAAATAGCAAATGTAAGTAAAGGAAATATTTTTTCGTAACATCCAAAAGAAAATCTCACCAGTGGACTGAAAATATTTAAGAAAAAGTTTGACCAGTTTTGTTCAACCTTTAAAATTTGAAGACCAGCAATGCCACGTTATGGTTGTTTTAATAATGCATTAGCTGTTAGTTATTTAATTTAGGATAAAGTAAAGATACCTCTGACCTGAACTAAAATTTAAAATGTGATGTGGCATACGAGTCAATCAGGTGTGAAGAGACACAGAACAAAAGTAATGAGAAAACTTAACTATTGTGGAACCAAATTTAATTAATATTTACACATCTATCCTCTTAAAGCTTGGAATAATGTAACCATAAGAAAGTAAAAGCTATCATAGAATATGTAAGGGACTGAATACATTTTCAATATCTTCAAATTTCTACTTTACAAATTATTGACGACAATGGTGAGAACAATTCATAGGTGTGTATATCCAGTTGGGGAATTTCTGTCTTGCAGACAGTACTAGTGCTGTGTCCATTTGATAGATTTCAGATCAACTCCCTCTTGAACCATCTCCCACAGGGGACTGAAGAATAAGTTTGGAAAACATACAATGAATACTTATCAATTTGTATATTTTATAGAGATAAATAAAACTATTGATAGCACAAGGTATCAGTTGTGACTGCATTCACGTCTCTGTTAAAGTAAGGGTTGGCTGATGGACATTTATTAAAGACATGCTATGAACATTATATGAACAGCTGTAACAATATACAAATACCTTTGAATTTTCCATAAGTTTACATTGGTAATTTGTTGAGTGGATCAAGAGTGGAAATAACCATATAAGCTTACCTCATTTCCCTTAGCCTCTTGACATGTGTAACACACTTTTGAATGGTGAAGTCTATTTCCTCCTCTGTTGTGAACCTCCCTATTCCAAATCTAAATGAGTACATAATATAAAATATAACTATTACGAGCTGTACTTATTAAAAAAATTAAAATTGAGTGAATACATTTTCACAGCAACAACTTCAGCTATAAATAATCTATTAAACTCAGTAGGTCAAGTCAATCTTAACCTGATTGATGAATGAGCCAAGTCCTCATCGGTTCCAATAGCTCGTAACACATATGAAGGTTCAAGTGATGCTGAGGTGCATGCGCTGTAACATAAATAGGACAAAAAGTCATGACTTAAAAACAAAATCTAAGTTAGTGTTGAACTGTTGAGTACATTTTAGGGTAGAATCTTGAGCAATAGAGTGTAATCTGATACATGTTAGCCTAACATGCAATTAAGACTGTTATTTTAGGGTAGAATCTGGAGCAATACAGTGTAATCTGATACATTTTAGCCTAACAAGCAATTAAGACTGTTAACTATTTTATGTTATTTTGTATATTTTTGCATGTTGTTACTTGTGTGCCGCCGAAGTCTTTAAGATTGCCAGGTTCTTGAAACCGGTTAATTTAAATGGAACAGTAAGTACCTTCCTGATGATAGCGCTATATCTTTAAGCGCCATGAGAAGACTCTCACCCTCAACATAGGCAAAGGAGAGGTTCACACACCCTGAGGGACAGATTTACAAGGCTTTAGCTTCATTAAATTTGTGTTATAAGTCAGGGGTTGAAAAAACTGAAAATAACTTAGAAGAAGCTATCCCTTTTTTCTACAGAGCCAGTAATTTTAATATTTTTTACAAATATTTTTTTAACTTGAATTTGAAAAGAAATCAGGGGAAAGCTGGAAAAAAATTCAGGTATCATAGCCACAGAGTACCATGAATGCATCTACCCCTGATATTAATAACAATATATGGTAGTTTTTTCAACGATAAAATGACATTTTTAAAATATAGAATTTATCTAAAAATGCAACAGAGTGCCTGCCCTTTATTCTGAGATAAGTAGCTACAGTTATCACTATAATGAAACTGAACAGTCATAAGAAGGAGCAGACAACTGAGCTTGTTTATATCAGTTGTTATCAAGAGCGGATAACACCCAAGGGAAAGAGGAACGCCTCAGAAGACTGGGAGGGAAACATTTCAAAAAGGCATTAAGAAATTAACATTGTCCATGGAAACTGCTGCCCAAATCCCAACACAGATCTGGAGGAAATGATAAAAACCCAAACATCTTTTCAATGAAACTAAAATTGTGAGTGACAGTAACATGTTTAAGACACAGTTCTATTGACTCACCTGGATAAGTTTTTTCACTGTCACCATTCCTGATCACCTTTGGGCAAGCCTCCATAATTTTGTTGATCAAGTGGTTTGATAATGCACCAATCCTTTTGGCATCATACTTTAAAGGGGCAAAAAAATATTTTATGGTTTGTAATAAACAGCTGGAACTATGAAGTAATTTCATAAATGTAAAAAGAAAAATTTATTCAGAGAATCTAAATGGAAATAGTAATCAGATTGTCCTCCAACATATTTACTAATATTCACCACACATTCAAAAAAAAAATGTACATCTTAAAGTTAATCCTTTTACAAGCACTTGTAAGAAACCTTACATCCATTTCCTCCTGTGCCAGCTGACATGCTGCTCCTAGACCTACAACTAAAGGTGTTGGCACTGTGCCGCTTCTCATGCCTCTCTCCTGGCCGCCTCCACTCTGTAAGGCTTCAACCCTGACTCTTGGCCTTCTCCTTACAAACAGGGCACCAACACCTACGGGGATGATATACAGGAAACAAAGTTATGACAACAAAACCTTCGGCGATGACATACGGGTGAAGCTATGACACCAACACAAACGGGTGATAATATACAGGTAAGAAAGCTATGAAACCAACATCTATGGCTATGATATACAAGTAAGAAAGCTATGACACCAACACCTAGGTGGATGATATACAGATAACAATGTTTATAGCTTGCATTTTTTTTCACCTCCAGTTCTCCATTTGTGTTTAAATTTGGAAAAAATAACACTTTATAAGACTTTTTAAATGATTCATAAACGCCTTAGGTTATTTAAATTTGTTAATAGCAAGTTTCTTTTTATTATCATTGTTACGAGCTTCCGAGCTTCCTTCCTGAGGACAAGTTCCTAAGTAGCTAACTCCTGCACAGGTATTGTAACAGAAGGGCAGTTTGATAAGCTTTAATTGTTGTCTAGGGTACAACTCTGTACAACAAATGCTTTCGTCCACACTGGATGACAACAGAATATACAATGCAGGGATCTTTATTTACAATCTATTCTTTAATATTACACTGTGTTCAAAACCACAAATTGCACATAATGAAAACTACTTGCTCACCTCAAACAAGATGGCCCACACTCAGGAACACCAATCTCAACATAAATTAACACACTGCAATGATAACTGCTTATGACATGTGTTGAGACAGCATTTATTCCCCTCACTTGTTGATTGCCATTTGTATGTATGTATGTATGGCATCTTTCCGTCTGCGGGAGACGATAGATTATCTTTATTGTTTGCAGCTCTTGGTGTGGCTGGTGAGACCAATCCTCGAATGGCAGTCTCTGTTATATTTCCCACACACGAATGCGGTGGAGCAGTATTTACTGGCCTTCCTCCTCACTCTTTTTGCAGCTGTTTCCGCCCTGTTTTGATCCTCGGCATGTAGTGATCCTGCCTTCACGATGCCCCGCCATGAGGATTGATCCTCTGCCAGCTCCTCCCAGTTTGAGATGTCGATGTTAGCCGACTTCATGTCTCTTTTGCATATGTCTAAGTATCTCAGACGAGGCCGTCCCACTGACCTTTTCCCTGTTGCCAGCTCGCTGTATAGCACGTCCTTTGGTATGTGACCAAGTTGCATTCGCTTGACGTGTCCAAGCCAGCGGAGGCGTCTTTGGATTAACATGGCTGGGACGCTACACATGTTTGTTTGGGACAGGACATCCGTGTTGGGGACTTTGTCTTGCCATTTAATGTCAAGGATGTGACCCAGGCATCTTTCGTGTTTAGAGTATGTAGTCCACGACTCGCATCCATACAGGAGTGTGCTCAGTATGCAGGCCTGGTACACCTGCAGCTTAGTTCTTGTTGTGAGTTTGGCGTTTGACCAGACTCTTTTCTTCAGTCTGGCCATAACAGTTGCGGCCTTCCCTATCCTTCCACTTATCTCATCCTCCATTGAGAGGGTGCTCGATATGTTGGATCCCAGATATGTGAATCTGTCAACAGTATCCAAGTCGTAGTCGTCGATGGCGATAGTGGGGAGGGAGTCAGCGCCCTGTGCCATAATGTTAGTTTTCTTTAGGCTAATTGTCAGGCCAAACTCTTTGCAGGCAGCGGATAGGCTGGATACGAGGCTCTGCAGGCCGTCAGCTGTGTGAATGTTAGTTTTCTTTAGGCTAATTGTCAGGCCAAACTCTTTGCAGGCAGCGGATAGGCTGGATACGAGGCTCTGCAGGCCGTCAGCTGTGTGAGATACCAAAGCGGCATCGTCCGCAAACAAGAACTCCCGCAGCAAGACCTTTCTTGTTTTAGTCTTAGCTCTAAGGCGGGCAATGTTGAATAATTTGCCGTCATCTCTAGTGTGGATGTATATCCCCTCGCTGTTGTTCTGAAAGGCATACTGGAGTAGGATGGAGAAAAAGATTGCAAATAAAGTAGGAGCCAGCATGCAACCTTGCTTCACTCCACTACTCACTGGAAAAGCTTCTGAGGCGGCACCGTTGTAGCACACTGTGCCCTGCATGTTTTCGTGGAACTGCTTGATGATGTTAAGCAGTCGTGATTGCCATTTACACTTGGACCAATCACATAACTGGCCCTATGTAAACAATGCATCCCCAACTCTATACATTCCATCTACATCCTGACCACACTTATAAAACCAATTCATTGCAGTTATCTAACTTAACATGACAAAGTTGTGTCATAATAAATCAGTGTTTCCTCAGTAATACAAAGATCTGAACCCCATTAAAATGTAATAAAACAGATTACCTTTTGGGCCATATATTTTGTGGCCACTGATGGACATTAAGTCAATATTCATCTTGTTCACATCAATAGGTATTTTACCAACAGCCTGAGCAGCGTCAGTGTGGAAGAAAACTTTCTTTGATCTGCAAAGAGCTCCTAAAAAGACAAGTGTAAACAAAGATCTTAACTGTCTTTTCAAAACAAGAAACATGATAACAAACTTTAGCGACATAGGACACAGACATAAATCTCTGGCAGTAACCAATAACAGTCATGAGTCATTGGTTGTAATTTGTAGCGCTTCGCATTTTTTAAAGCAAAATTGATTTGGCTGATCATTATATAAAACAGAAGGTTGGAATTTTAAAAGCGTGACCTGGGTTAACATCAATTATGGCCATACAGCCAAAATGGCTCGCAATCGCCACGAGAAAGAACAAAAGAAATGAAAGGGCAAAAACACAAGGACAAACTGAATAGTTATTGAATAAAAATATAAATTAGCCAGATAAAACAAAACTATGCAGCCCTGGCGACAGACACTGCGGAATTCCTAATGACAAGTAGTCCCAAAAATATGTAGTTTTATGACTCCCAAATACCCACAATATAAACCAACTACGCACATTTTATTCTGGTTTGTCAGATCAAGAGGGGAATAAAAACTACTTTTAACTACATAAGATCAGGTTTATTTCAAGTCAGACTATTGAAAATGAGAAATAACTTGATTGTTTTTTTACTTTTTGTCCGCTTTCTTAAGCAAGATGTTCTTAATTTGAATGGGTTTTTTTTTGTTACAGGGAACTCAGGAAATTATGCCATTTTATTAACCTTAGGCATTGAAGACATTGTTTAATCAAAAGTACCTATTTCTGATATTGGCTGTTTCACTCCAATTTCATTGTTGACGGCCATAACAGACACCAACACAGTCTCGGGACGAATGCTCTTTTCCAGCTCCTGCCCACCAGGCGAAAATAATTTTATATTATGTTTCAAAATGTGGAAACGTGTTGTTGTTTCTTTTTTGTACTAAACAAAAAATGTGTTCGCTCAGCTCAGCTCATTTCAAAGTTTCAAGTCTTGATAAGCATTAACATAATTTGAGTTTAAAAAATGTGTTGGCTCAGCTCATTTCAAAGTTTCAAGTCTTGATAAGCGTTAACATAATTTGAGTTTAAAAAATGTGGTGTGCTTCTTTTAATTGATTTAGTTATATAGATATGTCTCTGTACTCAAGGTCAAAAGTTTAGCTAAATAGATATGTCTGTGTACTCATGGTCAAAAGTTTAGCTAAATAGATATGTCTCTGTATGCCGAGTAAAAAATTAAGCTATATAGATATATTTCATATATTAGCTTTAAAAAAAAAAAGTAATGTGCATTAAGTATACAGTCTAGAAGTATGCTTACATAACACTACAACACAGACCTTTAAGTCAAGGATTCCATTGTGGTGTACACCAAGGTAGGTAATCTCAAAACCTTCTGCCTCCAGAGCTCGACAAGAGTCTAGGACACATTTATGTTCCTGAAAGGGAAGATAACTGAAACTAACAATCAAATCAGAAACACAGAAAATATTTCAAACCTGTTAAGGAGAATTTTCATATGCTAGTCCCAAACTTTGGCATAAAAACGGAACAGGGAGGAGAGTTAGTTTGTAAGTTCTAAATAACAGATAAACTTTGAACTGCCGCTTGGGAACTTATCATGCATCAAATCAATCTGACCTAGATGTGCAATACAGTTGAGATTGCATTGTAGAAACAGATAATTGTTTTATAACCAGATTCCTCAGATCAGTAAATGCTTTGCCAAAAATAATTTCAAAATTAACATCGTTATATATCATATCTTAATGATAAAATTATAGAGAGAATCTTATATATAAATTATGCATACAAAAAAACCCCACTTACCGTCTGTGTTGTTATAATGTGCTTTTTCTTTTCTTTGTAGAATCTAGCAACACCTTTGACGGATATATTGTTGGACTCTGTTGCACCACTTGTGAAAATGATTTCTCGAGGATCAGCACCAATTAAGTTTGCCACTTGCTGTGATGAGCAGTAAACATATTGTTTTAAAAGGACATTGCACCAGATTATTGAACTATGACACGACTATTTGATTATACCATTCATCATTAATGAAGTTGTTCCAATACCCAGCATCTCTTGTGAACATAAAGTGATGCCATATTAACTTTCTGTTTGACATTTTTGCAGTTTTGTTAAAAATCTGGAGGTGATTTTTTATTAATTAAATATATCCCTGAAATTTATCTGATCACATTAGTTATATTCATATACAGTATTTTTATTTTAAGTTGTTAATCTTTGAAGTGCTCATATAATATTGTATATGCTTTATTTACTTAGTTAATAAAAATAAATAAATAACATTGGATTAATTATTTTCATTAGATGTGTAATTTTGACAAAATTTCACACAGTATAAATTTGCTTTTAAAGAAGAAAAAGTCATCCTCAAAGCCCATGGTACTGGCACTCATATTACCTTTCTTGCCTTTTCTACAGCTGCTTCACTTTCCCAACCATAAGCATGTGTTCGTGAATGTGGATTACCATACTGACTCATCAAGTATGGCATCATTGTATCCAGGACTCTAGGATCCTTGAAAACAAGAATTATAATATTTATTTATTTTATTACTCATACTGTAATGATTAGATAGAATTTTTTTATTGACAATGGGATCCAATCATTCTAATCACCATTTTGAGTCTCTAATTCAGTCTGAAAATAGGTTTTCAAACCTCAATAATGCAAGTAGGAGACATTTAGAAAATGTAACTACCCGGTAGGCGCTTAATTCAAAAGAAAAAAAAAAGAAATAACTGATAGCAGAAATAAGCAAAAGTTACAATGAATAAGTAGCAAGTTAAATTTTGTTCTTCTTGTTTTATAAAAGTGACAGTGTTGCAGACGTTACAATTACTAATATTATAAGATATCAATGTCACTGAATGCAGAAAACTAGCAAGCAAAACTGTTGGTGGTTAACAGTATATGACTTATAAGATAATTAAAATGTATAGCCTTACCAAAGGTGTGGTGGCTTGTGCATCAAGGTAAAGTGGTCTCATGTCCTTTGCAGGCATTTCTTTCTTTACTTGATTTGTTGCAGAATCTGTATAGGGTGTAGCATATAATTTAATATAAATTCTTGACTCTCTAGTTGAAGCTAATTTTATGATTTTATTCAATGGCCTTATAATATATGTTAAGGATATGTCGTATGTTTAAAATTTTAAGCCACTTTCTTTATACCAGAGGTGGCCAACCTGTGGCCAGCTACACTACCTGTGGCCAGTCACATTAAATATTGCAGCCCATGGATGCCCGATTTATCACAATAAACTTATATTTCTTCATTCAATAGACAAAGAAATCAGTTTTTAAAAGTTAAGTGAGAGAAGACAAAAATTATATCACATGAGTTACATTTTTTTTTTCTATTTTTTTATTTTGCTGATAAAAAAATGTATTATGTCATTAAGAATAGATAACAATTCTATGCAGGATTTAGTGGGTGTTTAATTTGATGTAAGTATAAGGTATAATGATATGCGTCCGTGAATGGTTCACACACTATTATTATCAAGGTGGCCAGCGAAATCTTTTGGGTTGGCCACCCCTCGTTTAGACAAAGGCCAGTGACAGTATTTTCAAATTAAAAATGAATTTTAACAAAAATATTCATAATTTCATTAATGAACCATTAATTTACTTTTAATGCAGCTAAAATTCAAGATTGTAAAATAGTATATTTAGTGTATTTAATTTTAAGCCGAAATCAATTAAATTGAAGCACCTAGGCCTAGGCTAGGCATTTCCCATTTTAAGTTATTTAATTACTTCAAAATTTTTACTAAGCAGCTTTGTTTACCACAGCGGCTGTAAACTTGATAAACCAAAGACTGCAGTCAACATAGCTAATCATTGGACCTAACTAGCTAGGTACTAAGTGTTCTAAGACTGCATCTACTGAGGCTACAACGTGGAGCTCTTTTTGAGATAGCAAACAGCAACTATGTTTTTCCATGGTGTCATATTGGCTTGTGTGGTTCAGCTTTTCATGAATCATGCTCATGATTCAGGCTCAGGGCTACAATATTCTCAGGTGCAGAATATATTTTTGGACTGCACCTTCTTTTAATTTTTTTTTAGAGGCTAGTTTTTCCATGATGATTCATGCTTTACTGACTTTATTTAAAAGATTGTGTTATGTAGTACACTTTTCCCGTGCTTGAACTTTGTTTCACCCCACATTAGATCCTTAGCAGACGGTAGCGTTAGTTTTGGGCGTGGCTTAGTCTTTGATGTATGTTGTTTACTACCGGCTTCCAATTAAAATGGTTAGTAGGCCTATTAGTATCTTGTCGAAGGTTCTCGATTATATTAGAAAAGTAGGGGCGTTTCTAGACGCGTCGGTAGACCGCAATATATAAATGATTGAGAGACACAGAGGACGGAGATAGATTCAAAGAGATATTATTAACTTTACGAGACACGTATTATTCTTTGTGTGCTCATGTGTTTATTCGCATTCTTCATTCATCATTATTAATTGGCACATTGTACAAATTGAGTACCGGTACGAGATTTTCCAATACTCTGTAAGTTGATGATTTGTAATGATTTTTCCTTTGTTTTGTAATTGTATTATTACTAAATTATTGTATTATTACTCAATTAAATCTTATTAACTGTACTTGGCAACTGTTTTGGGTGTCGTAATTTTGTTATTGTATTTATCTATGGTATCGTCCTTTGTTAGGCACTGTTTGAACGAGCCATAACTTAAAACAAGAGATTAATTTCTCACAATAGAAGCCAGTGCGTAACAATAGCAGTGCTATAATTAATAATCATTAATTAATATAATGATTAGGCCTGTAAAAAGTATGCTATAATTTACAAAAATAGATATTTATTTAAGTATATTTTTATATTTCTTTATATGATGCAATTGTTGATAACCATAATAACAACAATAGTGCTGATGCATGAAGTTTTTTGATAATGATCAGATACCCAACTAAGAAGTATGGTGGCTGTCCACACTCACACTACTGCCAAAAGACTACTCAGACCCTAATTCAACACGTTGATGGTGTGAGCGTTAATGCCAGTTAAAAATAGTTTGACATGTGGTGTCTGCAATGGGCTGTGCACATTAAACAGATACTCTCAAGGATAGGACAGCCTAAGGTGGGCCTGTGCTGCATGCAGCATGCAGTTACAGAAAGTCAATAACGGGAATGTTTGTTTTCGCAGTAAGTCACATCAGCATCCAGCAAATTATTATTCTAGGTAACTGCTGGTGTTGTTATATGCCACAATTGCAGATGGCACGTGAGGCTGAAGTCTCAAATGTTTTCAGGGAAATAATATTTTTTTAAACTTCGTTGTTACCTTGGGAGAGAACTAAGAAAGAATAAGTGTTTAAATTCTTCTATTTCAAAATATGTTGATATTGGTTTTAAATTTTCTATAGCCTATAAAAAAATTTTTTTGGATAATTTGTATTATTTATGTGCTGAAACTGAAATGAATATGTACAATGATTGTACAAGTACCATGAAAGATGAATGAAATTGAAATTACTATTATTATTAGTTAAAATTATGGTAAATTTCAAGAGATTGTCCCTGGGTTTCCGCCATTTTGGTTTGACACAACCAGTTAATTCTGTCCCTAAATGTATCCCTAAACCGATCCATAAGCCTAACCTGAACCCTAAATTAGGTACTTCGATGAAACAAGGGAGACTACTACTTTTTGGGTATTGGAAATGGGCGTCTGCGCCGAAATTTCAGAGTTTTTAATTTTCCAACGTGTGTGTCTATTTATTATTAAATGAGTACTTTCGAAATATATTTGAGTTCCATTTCCGGCCTTGTAACTTGGAAGACCTCTTGGCCTACATTTCCATCCAGCTATTTTGATTTTTTCAATGGACCTTTATTTTGAAAATCTTTGGTACCGGTATCTATAAGGCATCTTCGCATACAAAATTTTTGGTGAAATAAAAGGAACTTGTCTTTCATATTAAATCGTTTAAAGCATTAGATATTGAAGTATACCTTTGCCGAATCTCGTTGATGTAGGTCGTGTCTGACGTTTGTTACGCCTCTCCAAGTGACCCATATCACCTTAAGGTCGCTCAGCCTAATTTTGACATGGTGTGGGCCACGCCCCCTATTTAATGGTGGAAGTTGCCGATACTCAGGAAATATTTAATTATTACCACTATATACATCAAAATATTTGATAACTTGTGTTTCAGAATGCATTTTGAAGACATTTAAACTGGAATGTTTTAATTTGAGCTTTAAAAACCATGTAGAATCCATATCATAAATGATCAGAATTTTCCATGTGCAACACGTTGTCATTGGCAACCATTCACAGTCACTTGCATAGCGGCTATATTGTAGTACTATCTCAGAGTTTCATTCATATGAGTTCGCCGTGTGTATTAACTAGAGGTAATAAACCTTATTTGGCTAAATTCCTGAGAGTTACACGCAGTCGGCTGGGAATAACTCTCACTCTCAGGGTTATGCGCAGCCGACTGCGTATAAGGCTTCCCTTAAACTACAACAGTTAAAAATATGATTTTGGTGTTACAATTCTGTAAAAAATTAGCTCTATTCAACTATGCCGTTGGTTTATTTTTACAAAATGTTTAAATTTTTTACCAAAGTACCTACGCCTAAATCGATCCCTATGCCTAACCTGAACCCTAAATTTATCCCTATGCCTAACCTGAACCCAAAATAAATCCCTCAACCTAACCTAAACCCTAATTCACTGCAACTATAATAAACACGCAAATGACGTCACGGGATGATCTCTCAGATTTAGCCAAAATTATTTACTAAAAATCTAAAACTAAAAGTCTACTTTCTACTTAGTACTACCACCTTCTGCATGATCTGTATCTAATGCGCTTGGTGCTGATGAAGCATGATTGTGATCCGCGCTTGCTGTGGTTTGCAACTTTCTAGTCAGACACAAAACTTTAAAACATTCTCGATGGATTTGTCGAGAAAACCTGGAAAGTTGTGTAATCATATTTTCAGTCTCTCCTATCACTCACTTAAAAGTCAAACACATTTATTTTGGTAATTATTTACATAAGTGTCAGATGAAGTCAATGTTTATTTCAGTTTACAAGTGAATTCAGGGGAAATCATTGGTTCTTTCCATTTTGAATTATCGAGTATTACTAACTTCTGTTCATTGTTGAAATACGAAATAATTTTATAAAATGTGTTTACGATTTATACACTATTACTATTTTTCAATAATTTTTAAAATTGTATCTCATTTTTTTTTAAATTTAGTGTATAATAAAGTAAAATATTTCATTAAGTTCAAGTAAAGAAAATATTTTTTTTTAAATAATTTTTTTAGCAGGAAAACTAAACAATCTAAAATCCAGAAATCAAATTCAAGATGGCAGCCACCATGAAAGACGTTAGTAACAATATTTGTTTTAATTTGTTCTGCGTTGTTGTATTCTTGTGTATACTGTAATGTGAACTAGATTGTTGTGAATATTTGGTAGGGGAAGTTGTTGATCGTGAGAGTGTTTTGTGAGTTGTAAGTCGTGAGGTCAGAGCGTTAATTTGGTTCGTGGTCAGTGTACAGTCAGTGGTGTTGAGCTTTTTTTAGTTTATCGGCAATATCGGTAGCGCCTTTAGCCGAGTCCGAGTGTTTTGTTGGGATATAAAAGAAAAAGGGCAGTGTGTTTGTTAGTCGGGGGTTGTGAGAGTCCAGAGTAAATCGTTAGAGTAGTCTAGCAGAGAGAGATAGTATTTATGTTAGATTCGCTGTGGGGCTTGCGTTGCCTGAGCGTGAGCTGAGGATATTTCTCTGCCACCTATCACATATTCATATATTTATGTACAAGTCTAACAAGTTGATGTTTTATTAGTACATGGAAATGAATACAGAATTTACAATGAACTATTCAGTGTTTGAGTTACTTGACCAAGAATCAAAGTATTTGCCACCGGAGCTAATAGAGTTAGACAAATGAAAGAAGGCCGTAACATTTGGGGGCCCGTTTTAGTTGAGGGGAAGGAGCATATATAGATTGAAATTGTTTCTTTCAGTAAAGAGCTAAACCAGCACATTCTTTCCCTTCTTCACTTCTTCATTTTGGCAGACATGTGTTTTTAAATGGCAGCCACCTTGGTTGCCATGACCTGTGCCCTTTCACCGGTCATTGCATATAAACATGACAGCTGTGTGAAATGCCATGGTGCTTCAAGTCCAAATTTACCATGAGTTCTTTGAATGGAGTTCGTTTGTCCTTTTTTACTGTATGTGTTTGTTTGTCCATTGCAGGCCTTTGCAATTTTCAACTTGAGTAGTAGTAGTATTCTTAACTTCCTGTTTTTTGTTTGTTTATTTACAATAGCGCAGGCAGCAGATGTCCAGAGCTACAAGTTCAAGGCTGTCGTAATGTTAAAATTATCAAGATGGTTGATAAAAATCGGATGTAATCAGTTCCGATTTGAGCACTGCATCGGGCAAATTTTTCTACCGAAATATATGACTTGAACTTGTATGTCAGTCTAAAATATTGTTGAAATAGATATCTAATGGTGATTTTATTGCAGCCTTAGGCCTATGTGAGAAAGGAAGCCTTTCGCTCTACCCATCGCATGTTATGTTTATGGGCGTTCTCACCCTACCTATTATCAGCCAACATATTTCCAGGAATCTCATCCCAATTATCAAAATATAATAACTGATTATAATTCCACCATTTAATGTTTTGCCTTGTTAGTCATAGATTTCAACATCCTTAATTTTTTTCAGTCGCAGAGTGATGTGCAAGTGACCTTTGAAGATCAAGAGAAGATTAATAGATTTGCCCGCACAAATGCCCGCCTCATGGATTTTAAGGAAGAACTGGCAGCTAAAGAGGTTGGTTAGAATAGACTTATTAAATTTTAAACTATCTTAAGCTATTTTAAGCCACTTTATTGTGTACTACAGTAAAATCATTATAATCTCCAATAATACACCATACATTTTAAATGTCAGCCCTACGCACAACATTAATGTTGCCTAGCTCTGGAACAAGAGGCAGAGGCCTATCTAGAGTGTATGGCGCCTAGAGAAAATTTTCATATTAACACACCCCATTCCCCAACTATGAAACCCATTATTTTCATCAATGAACTACCACAAAAGCCCATTTTGGCACCTTGAACTAGTCTTGTGGCCATGTACAACTGTCCTCCCTCTGTCGCCCCCATTAGCTACCCATCTGGAAAGAGATAGCAGGTCTGATGTTGTTAAGAACCACTACCAGCCATGGGTAGTTAAGGCTATCAACACTTGCTATGATTTGTACACTGACCACCTCATACCTTGATAAATTAATTACAAATGACATTTATATTGAATATTATGAGGGATTAACAACTTTTATTTATTTCTTTTAAAAGAAGGAACTTGAAAATCTAACAGATGCTGAAGAAGAGCTGGTGCTTGCTGAGGCTGATTCAAGTACTGTCCCATATCCTTTTACTGGAGTACATTTGTCTACCAGAGCCATTTTTAACATCTGCTAAGCATCTTGTTATTATTTCTTTTGGCTCTTCCATTTTCCATGGAAAAGAGCAGATACAGAATCCATTGAGTCACTTGTTCACTTCTTGGCTTTAGAAACATCCATCTGGTGTTTTTTTAATATTTATTTTACAGTACCATTAGTATCCTACAACTACAATGCAAATGTTTATGTAAGCAGCGTGTTTGATGTAGGAATACAGGTAAATGAAAGATATTGTCTTCTATCTCCCACAAGATGACATTTATAATTTGAATATACTTTTACTGCACTCATAATTTTGAATGTGAATTTAAAGAACTATTTGAAAAACAACTATCTATCTTTCCCCTATTTATGGAACAGTTTTAAAAGTGGAACTAATTAACAGGCTGCTTTTACCCTGGTTCTTAACCCATGGCCCCAAAAGGGGGTCACAGAGGCTTTCTTTGGGTTTGATGGCTGAAACAGTAATATGTTAATCTGTGACTTACTAAAGTTTGAGAATTTCTAATACTTTCATTTGAATTATCTATTTTCAATGTCCTTTCTTTATTGTATTTTTAAAAAAAATATTTTGTGGGGTCACTTTGCTTATATAAAAATGTGTCTCAGTCTCAGCTTAAACAAAAAGCTCAAACCTGTGTACTATTTTAGAAAAGACAATAATTGTGACATTGAAGAGCAAACATGTTTTTAAAAATTTTGTTTGAAAGTTGTGCTAAAAAAATTCTTTGGCTATCATTCAATTCATTCATTGGACATGACCATGTCCATTCCAACTAAAATAAAGATAGCCCTTTATAACTTATAGAACATTCAAAAGCAAACTCCAAGCAATTTATAATTTTGTTAAGCATACCATCCGGCTAAATAATACTACTAGCAAGATTTTTGTTGTGTTCTGACCTTAACCAAACGCTACATATCAGATAGGAGAAGTTTTGGTAGAGATGAGCCTAGAGGAAGCTCAAGCATCTTTAGAAAAGGCTAAAGAACTGTGCCTTGAAGAAATAGCTGCCCTCAAGGTGAAAGCTGAAGCTCACAAAGAGACCCTCAATAACCTCAAGACTTTACTCTATGCTAAGTTTGGCACCAGTATTAACCTTGACCTTGATGATGAGAGCTAATTTAAAATTGAGGACTATTTCATTTTATCAAACTCTTTTTTTTTTTACTACCAATGACATTGACTATAGGTTTATTTAAATTAAACATTTGGAAAAAAAAAATCATGTTTGTTCAGAACTTTTTTATTATTATTAAAAGCCATAACTTTACTAACTGTATGTACTCATTCTAAAGCCGTTCCCTTCATTAGCGTTCCCTTCATTAGCGGACACATTTAGTTTTTACTGTGCTGCCTCCTCGCAAACCCCCAACTATGCCCCTGAATTTTTTGTTGTTGTTAAAGTCAACTTATGAATGTTATTTTCCTGTTTCTGTCTTGATAATGTATTTGTAAACATTTAATCCAAGATGAGTTGAAAAATATTCTCATGACAAAAATCATAATGTTAGTCTATGTTGCAAAAAATTGTCAATATGCCATGTCATAAATCAGCTTTGGTCCAGCATCCATGTCATATGCTAGCTATGATTTATGTTAGCTAGGTTTAGTCTACCATGTCATGTTTGCAATGGTCAGTCTATGAAGGTAGCTATGGTCAGTCTGCCATGTCATATGTCAGATATGGTCAGTCTGCCATGTCATATTAGCTATAGTCAGTCTGCCATTTAATGTTAGCTATGGTCAGCCTGCTATGTCATATGTCAGCCATGGTCAGTCTGCTGTCATATGTCAGCCATGGTCAGTCTGACATGTCATGTCAGCTATGGTCATCCTGCCAGGTAATTAGCAATGGTCAGTCTATGTACCGGTATGGTGAAAGCCATAGTCATGTTATGAATGGTGTTAACCATGTTCATTTTAGGATGGGTGTTGGCTATGATTAGTCATAAGAGATGTTAGCTATGATTAGTCATAAGAGATGTTAGCTGTGATTAGTCATAAGAGATGTTAGCTATGATTAGTCATAAGAGAGGTTAGCTATGATTAGTCAAAAGAGATGTTAGCTATGACTTTCATAAGAGATGTTAGCAATGTTCAGTTTATGATGTTTGTGCTATGTCATGGTTTTAGCTGTGGTCAAATAACATTTGGTGTTTGCTATGTTTATTATGATTGGTGTTTGTTATGTTTAGTATGATTGATGTTTGTTATGTTTTAGTATGATTGGTGTTTGATATGTTTTAGTATGATTGGTGTTTGATATGTTTTAGTATGATTGGTGTTTGATATGTTTTTAGTATGATTGGTGTTTGATATGTCTAGTATGATTGGTGTTTGATATGTTTTAGTATGATAGGTGTTTGTTATGTTTAGTTTGATTGGTGTTTGTTATGTTTAGTATGATTGTTGTTTACTATGTTTAGTTTGATTGGCATTTGATATGATTAGTTTGATTGGTGTTTGCTATGTTTAGTATGATTGGTGTTTGCTATGTTTAGTTTGATTGTTGTTTATGTTTAGTTTGATTGGTGTTTCCCATTTTTAGTTTGATTGGTGCTTGCTATGTTTAGTTTGATTTGTGTTTGTTATTTTTTAGTTTGATTGGTGTTTGTTATGTTTGGTTTGGTTGGTGTTTGTTATGTTTAGTTTGATTGGTGTTTGTTATGTTTGGTTTGGTTGGTGTTTGTTATGTTTAGTTTGATTTGTGTTTGCTATGTTTAGTTTGATTGGTGTTTGCTATGATTAGTATGATTGTTGTTTGCTATGTTTAGTTGGATTGGTGTTTGCTATGTTTAGTTGGATTGGTGTTTGCTATGTTTAGTTGGATTGGTGTTTGTTATGTTTGGTTTGGTTGGTGTTTGTTATGTTTAGTTTGATTTGTGTTTGCTATGTTTAGTTTGATTGGTGTTTGCTATGATTAGTATGATTGTTGTTTGCTATGTTTAGTTGGATTGGTGTTTGCTATGTTTAGTTGGATTGGTGTTTGCTATGTTTAGTTGGATTGGTGTTTGCTATGTTTAGTTGGATTGGTGTTTGCTATGTTTAGTTGGATTGGTGTTTGCTATGTTTAGTTTGATTGGTGTTTGCTAAGTTTAGTATGATTGTTGTTTGCTATGTTTAGTATGATTGGTGTTTGCTATGTTTAGTTTTATTTGTGTTTGCTGTGTTTAGTTTGATTGATGTTTGCTGTGTTTAGTTTGATTGGTGTTTGCTGTGTTTAGTTTGATTGGTGTTTGCTATGTTTAGTATGATTGGTGTTTGTTATGTTTAGAATGATTTGTGTTTGCTATGTTTAGTATGATTGTTGTTTGTTATGTTTAGAATGATTTGTGTTTGCTATGTTTAGTTTTATTTGTGTTTGCTGTGTTTAGTTTGATTGGTGTTTGCTATGTTTAGTTTGATTGTGGTTTGCTATGTTTAGTATGATTGGTGTTTGTTATGTTTAGAATGATTTGTGTTTGCTATGTTTAGTATGATTGTTGTTTGTATGTTTAGAATGATTTGTGTTTGCTATGTTTAGTTTTATTTGTGTTTGCTATTTTTAGTTTTATTTGTGTTTGCTGTGTTTAGTTTGATTGGTGTTTGCTGTGTTTAGTTTGATTGGTGTTAACTATGTTTAGTTTGATTGGTGTTTGCTATGTTTAGTATGATTGGTGTTTGCTATGTTTAGTTTTATTTGTGTTTGCTGTGTTTAGTTTGATTGATGTTTGCTGTGTTTAGTTTGATTGGTGTTTGCTGTGTTTAGTTTGATTGGTGTTTGCTATGTTTAGTATGATTGGTGTTTGTTATGTTTAGAATGATTTGTGTTTGCTATGTTTAGTATGATTGTTGTTTGTTATGTTTAGAATGATTTGTGTTTGCTATGTTTAGTTTTATTTGTGTTTGCTGTGTTTAGTTTGATTGGTGTTTGCTATGTTTAGTTTGATTGTGGTTTGCTATGTTTAGTATGATTGGTGTTTGTTATGTTTAGAATGATTTGTGTTTGCTATGTTTAGTATGATTGTTGTTTGTATGTTTAGAATGATTTGTGTTTGCTATGTTTAGTATGATTGTTGTTTGTATGTTTAGAATGATTTGTGTTTGCTATGTTTAGTTTTATTTGTGTTTGCTATGTTTAGTTTTATTTGTGTTTGCTGTGTTTAGTTTGATTGGTGTTTGCTGTGTTTAGTTTGATTGGTGTTAACTATGTTTAGTTTGATTGGTGTTTGCTATGTTTAGTATGATTGGTGTTTGTTATGTTTAGAATGATTTGTGTTTGCTATGTTTAGTTTTATTTGTGTTTGCTGTGTTTAGTTTGAATTTTGTTTGCTGTGTTTAGTTTGATTGGTGTTTGTTATGTTTAGAATGATTGGTGTTTGCTTGAAAGTCTGCAGTGCCATATGTTTACTTTGATGAGCCTAGAGCTCCACACATTGGACAATCGCATGTTAAAGCTTGAAGTTGAAATGCTGGTATTGGCTTGTCCTGATTTTGGGGATTTTTTTTTTAAATTTCAAGTCCAAATGTTAACATCCTGGTCGTCTGTTTCACCCACGTGATTTGAACACCGTGAACTTGAACACCGTGAAATTGAACATGAATAGGCCCTGATTTTTTTTATTATTATTTTTTTTATTATTATTTTTTTTTTGTGTATGTTAATGTTCCAAAATTATGACGGCCCATTTGGGTGGGCAAAAGACAAATTTGGTTTGGGTTAGAAATGTGTTTGAATAGTCCACAGTGTTAACGCCATTAACGTCAAGTAAGCGACGCTGCACTTTGTAAAGACGTCAGTCAATGGTACAAAATATTTATTGAGATTTAATGGTTTGGCTTTTGTCGCCAGACGGGTGTTAGGGCACCACACAAGAAAGTGAAGGCGTAGGTAGACCTGGTTCACTTGTAGTACTTGTAGGACACCGTGTAAAGTGTTGGCCATGGTTCACTGGTAGAGAACCATTGGAAGTGTTGGCCATGGTTCACTGAGAGAAACATTGGAAGTGTTGGCCATGGTTCGCTGGTAGAGAACCATTAGAAGTGTTGGCCATGGTTCGCTGGTAGAGAACCATACAAAGTGTTGGCCATGGTTCACTGGTAGACAACCATTGGAAGTGTTGGCCATGGTTCACTGGTAGAGAACCATTGGAAGTGTTGGCCATGGTTCACTGGTAGAGAACCATTGGAAGTGTTGGCCATGGTTCACTGGTAGAGAACCATTAGAAGTGTTGGCCATGGTTCACTGAGAGAACCATTGGAAGTGTTGGCCATGGTTCAATGGTAGAGAATAATACAAAGTGTTGGCCATGGTTCACTGGTAGAGAACCATTGGAAGTGTTGGCCATGGTTCACTGGTAGAGAACCATTGGAAGTGTTGGCCATGGTTCACTGGTAGAGAACCATTGGAAGTGTTGGCCATGGTTCACTGGTAGAGAACCATTGGAAGTGTTGGCCATGGTTCACTGGTAGAGAACCATTGGAAGTGTTGGCCATGGTTCATTGGTAGAGAACCATACAAAGTGTTGGCCATGGTTCACTTGTAGAGAACCATAAAAAGTGTTGGCCATGGTTCATGGTTCACTGGTAGAGAACCATTGGAAGTGTTGGCCATGGTTCACTGGTAGAGAACCATATAAAGTGTTGGCCATGGTTCACTGGTAGAGAACCATACAAAGTGTTGGCCATGGTTCACTGGTAGAGAACCATACAAAGTGTTGGCCATGGTTCACTTGTAGAGAACCATACAAAGTGTTGGCCATGGTTCACCTGGCTGAGCAGCGTACGAAAAGGGGGGGGGGGGTCAGTTCTCTGAGAGTTCTGTTTTTAAAAACGTCTCGAAGTTGAAGTTTTTAACATGCCCTGAAAATGGTATTCTACAACGGCCAATGTGAGATTCACCTCTGGTGTTCTGCTAACCACTGTGCACTCCAAATGTTTCGTGACGGGTCGACTTAGATGTTTGTGATGTTAGTTTGAAGGTCGACTTTTCTTCTTCTTCTTCTTCTTCTATATCTTAAGGGCCCACGATCAATTTATTGATCATTTTGGCTCCTATGCATGTAGATGGGATTTGCAATGTTTCTGTTCCTGGTGTTGATGAGGAAATTTCACAGATTTCCAGTGCCACTTTGTGAGGGAATCATGCACTAGGGGTTTGAAGGCTTGAGGCAATATGAACAATAACTTTTTATCACTTACCGTCTAGAAGGGACACGGCTGAATAAAAGTGTGTTCAGCTCGGCATGTTTAAAGGTGCTCTACTTTTAAGGAAGGGTGACCGGCTATTTCTATAAAAGTACAGGCTTTATTGTGATACAAGTTTTTTTTAAAAACTTTAACACTTTTAAAAATATAAAAAGCTTAAAGAAATCGTGCGCTACCGTCTGCCTCGTTCACAA